ATACAATCATGAATCATATGAGTTCTATAATGTTTTATAAGATTCTATAAATCTTTACAATTCAAAATGTTAATGTTTAATATTTAAAAACATTATAAGATTCTATAAATCTTTACAATTCAAAATGTTAATGTTTAATATTTAAACAATCCTACTTAAATTTTATGAAGATGTCATTTTTAGACTTTTCTAAAGATTCACATGTTACACCAAGGTTTGAACAATAGACCTCCCACTTAAATAAACAACCAGATACCATTGGACCACAAAGTCCTTAGTTGTTGTGTTTTACTTGTTAAAACAATTGTTTTTGTTTACTCAAATAGCGGCTTAGGTTGGATGAGGAATCATCATCTCATGCTCTTTTGTTTGTTTATGACTTGATTTTGCATTGTACATTCAAAAGGCCAAATTATTTTAGAAAGGAGAAATGACATTTGATTCTACCCATATTAACGACTTAATCCCTCACTTATAAACATAGTAATCTTTTATCCTCAATTATGAGCGAAGTGGCACGCTTGGTCCATTCCCAACGTTAGGTTTTCGTCTCAACTTGACGGAAAATACAAAAGCCCTCTATCATTGGAGGGATAAAATAGAACATTCACATTATTATTCTTTTTCTTATATTGAAACCACTTTTGGTCTTTTGCAGTATTATTTTTCACTCTCCAACCAGTTTTGGTCTTTTGCAGTATTATTTTTCACTCCCCATCCACTTATTTCAAGATTTTCAACTCTAAAAACACTACAATAACCCTCGTATGACTTGTTATGAACCTAGGTGTCGTATAAGTAATTTGAGACCCAATACACACTGGCTTACCGTTTTTCAGGCTTGTGAAACACACTATCCTAAAAGTTTTTAATTTCCCTTACTAAATGTGCCATGTAAACCATAAACATGTTAACTAAATGTGTCAATCGTGTCAACTTGTTAAAAATGGGAATAGATAAGAAAATCGTTTTTCTGCAAATACAATACTAGGACCAAATGATAATGTTATAATAAAAAAAAGACTAAAAGTATACTGTCATCTATAAATCTAGGATCAAGAATAGAATTACCTTTATCAAAAAAATTAGAATTACCTCGAATTAAACATAACTTCAGTCAAATCTCGTTAATCCAGACAAACAAAATGAGACATAGTGAGTATTAATTATCAAATTCTGAAACTAAAAAAAGTACATCGAAATTTAAATTATGGAGATAACTTTGACATGAGAATCACATTATATAAAAATATTCCTAAAATTTTTTAACATGTCACATGAGAATCAAATTATTTTAAAATAAATATTTTAAAGAAGATTTAAAATAAATATTTTAAAGAAGATTTATTTCTGCAATAATTAAACTAAAAATTTGTATGGGAATGACCAAGTTAAGGAAAAATTTTAATACTCCGTATTCTGTAGTTTACAAAAATGTATCGAAATCTCAATCACTAGTCGAGTCGAGGAAAAGTCACTACTCAACAAAGAAGAAATGTATCAAAATCTCAACTGCAAACCCCACCTTCTCTTTCTTGATGAGGCAATGAAATTTGGCAGCTATTCCCCTTATTAATTATATCTGGGCATGCCCATATGATGATGTATATTGGTGGAAAAATCTGTGTCAGTGTGGAAATTTCAGTATTCAGACGATGATAGTGTTCAGTGACGAATCTATGGAGTTAGGAGGCGCTAGACAATAGACATGATTGATTAATTACACTAGTAGCCAAAATGGGAGTAGATAATTAAGAAAATTGTTTTTCTGCAGATCCAATAAATTAAAGGTGTAATCTTTTTCTCGTTTTCTCTTCTTCTTGCCACTGTATCTCCGTTTATATTGCCTTTATAATTTGTTGGAATAGGTTTATATTGCCTTTTGTTGGAATCGGTGCATCTCCGTACATTCTTTATTTTTTTCTTTCTATTTTCGGTGAGGTAATACTGTGTTTCAAGAGAACAGGTTTCCTGTTGTGAGAGATGTGAAGAGAAAGTGTTTCATAATCAATCTAACAAGCTAGAGATTATTATTGTCACATTTTTAGAAATAAAACAGATTAACCCTTGTTTGCATGACCTTGGAAAAACCTTGGTAATTTTAAATAAACGACATCCTTATTCTTATTATTTTAAATAAATGACATCCTTTAATTTACCCTCCCAATTAAAATTATTTTGGATTTTCTCTTCTCCTATTTAATTTTAGAAAAAACACATTTTATTTTTCAATTATAAGCTTTAGTGAGACCACTTGAATTGTTTCAAAATGAGTCAATGAGATAATTTATACTTATTCCACCTCTTAACTTACGGTGGAGATCTACTTGACTGTATGACTATGACTATATCTCTAAAATCCACCCTAAAATTCTATACAATCATGAGTTCTATAATGTTTTATAAGATTCTATAAATCTTTACACTTCAAAATGTTAAATTTTAATATGTAAACAATTCTATTTAAAATTTAAAACTATTTAATTTTTATGAAGATGTCATTTTTAGTCTTTTTACATTTATCAGCTTATCAAAAAACTAAGTTTACTAAACACTTTTTAAACATAATCAGCTAGCTTATCATTTTTCAACTTCTAGCTTATAGCTTTTCAGTTTTCAACTACTTTTCAGCTAGGTTTGCCAAACATAGTCTATATAAACATAAATGTGGATTCCATCAATCACCCTAGCTTTTTAGTTGAGATGGAACGACGCATGCTTCAATTTGATATCAAAGCCAACCCCATGCAACTACGGTCCACGTGTTGCTTGGAGCCCATAAAAAAAAGAATCAGCTCGCACATGTAATGACTTTTAGTTGAGACGAAACACATGCTAGGAGCCTGGGAATCGGCCCACACACGTAATGTGCAGTAACTATCATCTTAGACTATTAGTTGAGACAGAGCATGTGCTAGGAATTGGCCTCACACGTAATATGCAGTCCAATTATCAGCTTAGACTTTTAGTTGAGATGTAGTACATGCTAGAAATTGGCCCGCACACGTAATGTGCAGCCCAACTATCAGCTTAAATTTTTAGTTTAGACGGAGCACATGCTGGGAATTGGTCCGCACACGTAATGTGCAGTCCAACTATTGGTTTAGACTTTTAGTTAAGACAGAGCACACTCTCGGCCCGCACACCTAATGTGAAGCTCAACTATTAGCTTAGACTTTTAATTAATTGAAGATATAACACATACATGCTTCAATTTTCTATTGCTTGAGTTTCATTCCTCTATTTCTTCATCTATTGTCTGGTCTAAATTGTGTCTCTTGGGCAGTACACAATGGAAAGAGGCATAGTTCATGAATGCCAACGCGGGGATTCAGATCAGAGATCATGCAGCATTCTATTCTCCATCTTTTCTTTTGTCTTACAAAACAAAAGACATCACATTCATACCCTTTTTTTTTTTTTTTTTTTTTTTTTTTTTTAAGTAAGGTTTCTCCTTAGCTTTATTTAGGAGTTTCAAGTAAGGTTTCTCCTTTTAAGTCCTTAGCTTTATTTAGGAGTTTCAAGGGCTATGGATTTCTTCTTTCTGGAAGGCTGACATTATAAATTTCACTATCAAAATTTCTTTAAATGTAAGATATATTTTTAAAAAAATTTTGAGGGAAAATTTGTATCAGTGTTAATGGTTTAAATATTACAAAGATTAAAGAGTTAAATTTATATTGAATGATTTAAAAAAAAAAATAATTCCAGTGGTGCTCTCTCAATTATATTGTGTTTTACTTGTTAAAACAATTGTTTTTGTTGTCTACTCAAATAGCTGCATATTGGATGAGGAATCATCATCTCATGCTCTTTTGTTTGCTTGTGACTTGATTTTGCATTGTACATTCAAAAAGCCAAATTATTTTAGAAAGGAGAAATGACAAATTTGATTCTTACCCATATTAATGACTTAGTCCCTCAATTATGAGCGTATTCATTTTTTATCCACAGTTATGAGCGAATTGGTGTGTTTGGTTCCCAAAGTTAGGTTTTCATCTCAACAGCTCAACTTGACGGAAAACCCAAAAACCATCTATTATTGGAGAGGTAAAATAGAAAATTCACATTATTATTCTCTTTCTTATATTGAAACCACTCTCGCAGTATTATTTTTCACTTCCCAGCCTCCTATTTCAAGGTTCTTCAACTCTAAAAGCATTTCAATAACTCTTGTATAACTTGTTAGGAACTTAGGTCTCTTATAAGTAACATGAGACTTAGTACACAATTGATCACCATTTTTCAAGCTTGTGAAACACACTATCCTAAAAGTTTTAAATTTCCTTTATTAAATGTGTCATGTACACCCGAAACATGCTAACTACATGTGCCATTTGTGTCAACTTGTTAAAAAAATTGTATTCGTGTTTAGAAGTCTAAACTGTTAACCTTAATGGGCCGTGTCATGTTTAACCTTATTGTATTCATGTTGTTATCTTGTCAACCAATTAACCCATTTACGAGAATTGTCAAGTCTAGTGGGGAACTAGCGTGCACATTTATTGTTTCTATATTTTAAGAGAAATGCATCATTTTATGAGTAAAACTATTTTATTTCAAAAATATAAAGTGGTATATATTTAACTCACACAATTTTTAAAATAATTTACAAATATATACCACACCTCTTTCTATTTTGGGAATACAACATTGTTATAACTCCTATAAGTGGTATTGTAAAATTTTCTCTTAGGATTAAGGCATTGTTATAAGTGGTATTGTAGAATTTTTCCTTAGGATTAAGGTATTGGTATGGTTTGAAGAATGACCTTTCAATAATAGAAAACCATCAACCCAATCTTCCAAGATGAACTCTTTCAATTTTTCTTTTTCTTTTTCTTTTTTGATACATTAAATATGATCTTGAATTCTCAACTCTTTCAAGTTTTCTTTTTCTAATTTCTCAAATTATATTATGTGCAAATTAAAATAGCCACTCTATCAAAGCCAGGTTTCGATCCTAAGACCTGTGGGTTATGGGCCCACCACGCTTCCGCTGCGCCACTCTAATTTGCTTGAGATTTATATTTGATACACCAGATATTACAGGAGAGGATACAGTTCTAACAAGTGTTTTTGTTTCCTTCGTACATAATAAACACACAATACATACCAAAAGAAAACTATGAGCTTAGTTGAAGAAACCTTTGTGCCATGGGATGCTTAGCTTGAGAGAGCTGATCAGGCTTCAGAACCTCCACAATCTCACCCTCAACAAGAAGGCAGACCACATCAGCTATTCTCTGTATTTGCTTGATGCTGTGAGACACCATTGCAATGGTCATTCTCTTCTCCTTCTTCAACCGGACGAGAACATCCTCAATATTCTGTGTCGATATTGGATCGAGTGCACTGGTTGGCTCATCTAACAGGAGAACCTTCAATTCAAAAATGGAACAAGATTTCATTCGGGTTAGGCCAAAATACATTAAACCGCAAAATTGCATCATCATAATCTAGCTTCACCTCTGGCTCATTAGCTAAGGTCCTAGCAAGTGCAACCCTCTGAGCTTGGCCAACAGACAGTTCACCACCAGGCTTGTTGCAGAAAGAGGAGTCAAGGTCTGCAAGACTAAGCAATCTCAGGACTTGATCATCACTTAGCTTCTTCCCCCTTAAAAGTGGCCCATATCTGATATTGTCTGCAACTGTGCCTGCATACCCCCACACACACATCATTTTTGGTGCAATCTTAGGCCTAAGCTAACCAAATCTAGTGCCCCAGATCAATCTGCAGATCAGAGCATATAATATATAAACAAAAATGTGCAATCCAACTTTCAGCTTAGCGTTTTAGCTAAGATGGAGCACCTGCTTCAGTTCAATCAACAATCATATTGATGGGAGTAACCCCTGCCAAGTTGGTTAAGGATATAAACCTGTAATCACAGTTCGAATCTCAGCCTTCTTAGTATGAACCAGTCAGCTATGAGCAACTGAGGCTGGTTTACCTCCTTTGTTGGCTAAAGTCGGGATTTACCCAGTGCAGACCCTCGGGCCCCAAAAAACAATGATATTGATTGGTAAAGCTTGTGATATATACCTTCAAAGAGAGCAGGGAGCTGAAAGAGCATGCCGACTTTGCAGCGAAGGCTGAGGACATCAAGATCACATATGTCTTTGCCATCCAAGAAGACTGTGGCATTTGCAGGCTCCCATAGGCGGTTGAGTGCTCTGAGGAACGTTGACTTTCCACTGCCACTAGGGCCAATGATCCCCATGATCAGACCTCTGGGTATATCTAAGGTGATCTGGTTGAGAAGAGTAAGACCCTTGTCTGAAACCCTTGTAAGCCCCTTCACCTGAATCTTGGTTCCAGCTGCCTCATCATCCCCATCCACCATAAGCAGAAGCTCTCTTTCTGGATTACAATACCACAAACAGAACACTAAAAAATCAGTCTTGAAATTCAAGATAAAAGAATTGGTAATAATTTAAAAGATGGGTTTGCTCTAACCTTCAGGAACCTCCATTAAACAACTGTCTCAGATCAGATGGTGGAATTGAAGATTGAGCTTTTCCCCAAAAAAATGAATTGGTAATATAATATATGGGCAGTGGGCTTCACCCCAACCTTGGGAAATCTGAATTGAATGAAGAATTGACTTAAATGAGGGAAGTGAGCGTACACTCAAGATCCAGCCTTCCCCAGTTGGTATATATTCTTTGCAACTGTTAATAATAGCCATCCAAGTAACATCATCATGCCATCTTTATTGCATTTTAATATATTCAATAGTTTAGGATATATATATATATATAATATATGCTGAAAGAATCTCAAACTCTTTTAGAGTTGAATCTCATCAGAATTTTTATATATATTGCCAAAAAAGTCTCTCCTTCAATTCTCTGCAATAATTCTTCATTTCTCGCCGGCCACCAGAGTTCAACTAGAAATTTATAGGCTTTTCTTCAACACCATGAATCTTCTGGCAAGATCATATGCAGACCAATGCTAGACAAGTGACTCAAGATTGAAATGTGACATAACAACTCTTTGATTCAAGTTATTTTAGATTTTTGTTTCGGGAAAATGTGATTCCTTGATTTTTTTTTTATTTTTTTTAACGTTATATAAGATTTTCTTGAGTTTGACTTTTTATTTTGTCCTCATCCTCTAGTAAAAAAAAAAAAGTCTTAACTGTACCCTAGTCAAGATGGCTAAGGATATAAACTTGTAATCACAAGTTTATGAATTCGAATCTCAACCCTTTTAGTTTGAGTTGATCAGTTATGGGCAACCTAAACAAGTTTACTTCTTTATAATCTTTTGCCGGGTAAGATCAGATATTACATAGAAGTTCACTGTGATATCAAAGAATCAAATTGTAGGATGAAAAAAAATAAAATTTGATCAATGTGATGCTATATCCGGCCTATTCATGTAGTATTATGTTAAGTGAAAGCTGATATTGTATGATAATGTGTTATCAACTTTTTGTATATTCAAACCCATCCGAACACAAGTTTTAATTAATGATAATGGGATGTTTATAGAGTTCTTCCCCATTAACGTAACACCATTATATATGCATGTGGTGTTATCTAACCTTGACTTTATACTGTCATGTCATATAGTTTAATGAATTAAGAAGGCAAAAGGATCAAATAAGTCCATGTATTAACTACGATTGTTAATGCAGTACCATAGATTAAAATATGGTCCATCTAGATTATTCCATAAAAAATTAAATTGAATACTTGATATAGATGGTTTTGTCTTCCTCTTGTCTCCTGTTGTTGTACTTCCTTTTAACTGAATGTTAAATATAACTTCTAAATTTGAAATGCGGTTTGTGAACTCCCTTTTGATATCTAAAATGTGAGTGTTCAACTTTGCAATCTGATCTGCACTTATGTGTTATACTAGTTTTTCATGAGCACTTATGTGTTTTGTTATATTTCTGATTTCAATCGATTTAATTGGTTTAGGATTTTACTAAAAATCAGTTGAAAAATATGGTTACTAAAAATCAAAGGTTATCTAAAGTTCTAACCAATTAAACCGGTTGAAATCAAAAAAATAACAAAAAAAATATATAAAAAGATAAAAATGTACTTACTAAAAATAGGAAAAAGGTCATGAAAATGACTAAAAGTGTCCAAAAAAACAATAGTCTAGGATGTTAAATGGCAAAAACGATAGTCGGGGACTAAATCTGAAATTGTCACTAGACAAAAGACTTCTGGTGAAATTATCTTTATTGGAGATGTTCGATGATTTTGTTATGTTTTTAGCGCCGCAACTAATGATGGCATTGCCTAGTAAGTTATATAGTGTAAATTACAGATAAATATTTATTTTTAATGTACTAAAAATTTATTTTTAAATTTAAAAATTTTATTTTTTACATACTAGATTTAAAAATAAACTTTCAATATATAAAAATAAATAAATATTCAATGTATTAAAATGAACTTTATGTAAGTAGCCTATTTTTTTAAATAGACCATGGCTTATATTATAATGACTAGTTTTTTCGACGCGCTTTACGCGAAAACTTGTGTCAAATATTTAAACTCAATTAGTAAATCATTTTGAAATAGATAAAATGCATTTGTAAAGTTTTTTTTTTTTTTTTTTTTTTTTTTTTTTTTTGAGTTGACGAAGTTTCATAAATATTCACGTATAGTTTATTTTGTTGATGATGTATTTGAAATTTACACAAGAAATACAAATTTATTGTGATGAATATATACAACTGTAATTTTAAGTAAAGGTACTCAATGTTATATTACATCTATTTTCTCTTTATGTTATTTAGTTAACATGTATCTTCCATTGTTAACATGTTATTTTAAGTATGTTGCTTATTGGTCCTATAAGATTTCAAAATGAAAGTGACAAATGTTGTAATAGTAGTTGTTTTGATTGAGAGTACCATTTTTGTTACATGTAAAATGACATTTTTTACGAAGAAAGCATATTGATGTAATTAAGGCAATTGCAAATGAATAAAATTTGTTTAAATGTATTTTTCTTCCAGTTAGAGATATATCCTTTCTGAATTCATATTGTCGTAGTAAAATCCAATATTATGTGAGCGGATCATATCTTGTATCCAAACCTGAATATAGTCATGTGTTAACTTACCATTAGCACACATTTAATTTAAGAACATATGCACTATAAAAATTACATTTAAGAAGTTTTGTAGTACTATTATAATTATTCATGGATATGAACCTATTGAATTGAGTAAAAGCTAGTCTCTCAAAAATATGACAAATAAGTAGAATTTGTCATTTTGTGTAGGTTTTTCATTGAAACCTAATAGAAGAATTAACACTATCAATTAGAAAAAATTGAACGATCAGCCTAATACAAGTTAATTAAAGTTTGTAAAGATGTAATTAATTTAGATTTTTAATTTCATAATAATTTATTTTTAAAAATAATTTTGTAATAAAAATTACAGTAGTAAATATTTGTACAAAATTTCTATATACTTTTGCAAAATTTAAAAGATTGAAAATAAATTCAATTAAAATTTATAAGATATTAAAGAAACTTGTAATACAAGATATTGAGTATTTCATTGTACTTGGGAAATTTGAATATATCCCGCCACCCAAATTCAAATATATCCCGCCAACTACCAAAGAGTTGTTGGTGTGTTTGAATGCAAAGCAAAGAATCAAACAAAAATGGCTTGGATTTGGAATCTTGTATTCCTCAAGTGCAGTTCAGTGGTGTCCTTTCAGGTACCACTTTCACAGAAGGAAATGAAGCTCTCTTTACTGCTACTAAATGAAGAACACATGCATTTATATTTGTCAATGAAATGAAATGGGGAAATCTATTCTAGCACATTCATTATCAGCAATTCAGCATCAAGGGAAGGCAAACTGGCACTTCAGCGCAACTTTGGTTCCACAATTGGGTTCATTCAATTACATTCGCAATACAAAATATAAATAATATTAACATTTAAGACTAGACACTACATGCTCATCACGATATGATAATCATATACTTCAAATGTCATTCAATGGATTTCCATTTTATAGCAGCACTGTAGCATTAATCCTTTATGATTCTCTCACTTTTTTTTTTTTTTTAAGACTAATAAGTATGTAAGAGTTCAAATGCAGCCCTCTCACAAATTGATATTGATTTTAATTCCAGCCAACTTGTTAACATTTAGACATGCTCTACAACAGCCTCTCCCCATTTATGTCCTTTTGGATAAAATGTCCAGACCTCATAAATTTATTACTCCATATTTGAAATTGAATACACAAAGGAGAATTAAAAAAAAAAAAAAAAAAAAAAAAAAAAAAAAAAAAAAAAAAAACCTAAAACCTGATATCTACCACACTATCTTTTTAGGAATCAACAAACTAAATAAGCCAGTAACAATAAGCAAATGAATCCAAGGTTCAGGTGAAACATCATGCTTCAATACATATGATCAATCTATATACCCAAATACTTGAACCTGAAAACATAACATCATGGAACTATGGAAGCTATAAGTAGAGCAATATCACACATGGTGACTGAAATCGCCTAAAATGTTATGATAACATATATATACTATCATTATGAATACATAAACTATGTAATGTAATTATAATAAAATAAGGCTTCCTAAATAATCATGGGTTCGGCATGTATCACTATCATTCTAAATATAATCATTTGACTAAATGGAAAAATACTACCTAATGATCTATTCTAGCACATTCATTTTCTGCATCCCGGGAGGACATATAGACTAACACTTTAGTTTTGGTTCCACAATTGGGTTTATTCAATTACATTCACAATTCAGTAAAAAATTGACATAAGATAGCCACAAACTGAAAATGGCAAACCTCATCTAGTAGTCAAGCCATTTCCAGTGACAAGTATTTCGGCTTGGGTTTAAAAGTTAAAACTACAAAGAAAACAATGGGATAAGTTCAAACTATACTGCATAGAGTTAACTAAGAAAATTTATGTTCCATTTTACTAACTTGCTATACAAAATTATAGATTTTATCAGTTCTATTTACTCATTTAAATCAAAATTCTAAATGTGCCGAAGTATAGAACAAGATGCAACTTGAAGAAATGAAGAATTCATCAACTATGACAATAAATTGATGCACCCAGAAAGAAAAATATACACACAGACATATATATACAATAACAACGCCTATCATGGTGTTAACTGCAATCAATAGTTGAGTAATTGAGTAATATATGAATGATGTTACTCCGTATATAAACTCAACAGTCAAAACTAAAAATTATAATTTATAATTTTTTTCAAGTCAATTACAGTATTTAGAGAATGGATTTGGGAGCTTATAAGCAATAAGAAAGTTGTTTTCTCATGGTACATCACATACAACCATAATTTTCCACAGATCACCTATTGTCAATAATTGATAATAACATCGATGAAAGGCAACAATAAATACTCACACCGCCTGTGAACCTCCTATTAACATGGTATACAAATTCATTATGTATACACCCAACAATTGCTATCTCATACCAGTGCATCCAGTAGAAACAGGTGGGAGAAAAACAATTCAAAAAACTTTTGTAATTAGATAATAAAATAAAATAGAATTTGTAGTGATTTCACTGTGCATTTGAGTGTTTAAATAGCTACAGAGTCCCTAACGCCCAACGCCCAACAATATTTCAGAACAAAATAAGGTAAATGGATTGAAAAAGAAATGCTTAATTGTAGGAATTGCTTTCAATCAATTAAAAAATTAAATTAAATATTATCTCTCTGTCTCTCGATCCTGCGTTGAACTTAAGGAAAAAAATAATTTAAGGAAGAAGGAAGCAATGATTATTAAAAAATAAATTAATATTGAGATTCCATTATAATGTATTTCTTTGAATTCAATCAATTATATAATGAAGAATTCAAAGAAATACATTATATTTTTGGAATATTAATAAATTTACCTCGGATTAAACTTGAAAGAAAGAAGGCAGCAATGATTACATTTAAACATTGATGCGTAATCCATGTTCATACCTATCCAATCCCGTTGATTGCTTCAATTCTTATTCTTTTCTCGATCTTGTTTTTATCGTATCAGCTCTCATGGAAGGAAGGTCCGCGATTCCAGCTGTTGAGAAGGTAGGGAAGAAGATTGTAATAGTTGATTGCAGATCCGTAATATGAAAGATGAGAAGAAGAATGATTGGAGGAATAAAATGGAGATTGGAGGAATAAGCGGACGAAAACCTACGAAAGGGGGAGTCGATTAAAATTAATGGAGGAATAAAGATAATTCCCTACTGTATAATATTTGTTAGAAATGAATAGACATGGAAGTTAAACAGGCTTAGGATGTGAATAGACATGGGAGTTAAGGTTGTGGATAGGCTGTAGAGCTTCCCTTGTTGTGTGTGTGTGTATATATATATATCAGTCTTGTAGCAGAGAAATATATAGAGAGAATAAGAGAACAGCTTCTACTTTTCTAGTTTTCTACATGGTATCAGAGCGGGTGGTGAGAGTGAGGTAGTGGGCCTGGCTCGGAGTAGGAGGACGACGCCGGAGCTCGAGTCGCGATGTCACCGGAGCCGCCACGCGCCACCGGAGCAACCTGCTCGCCGACCCACGCGCCGGCGCGTGTGCCCTAGTCCGGCGACTTTTCCGGTCGCGATTGGTACCGTCAGGATCGTCTCTGGGAATCCAGTTGATCTGGTATGGTGGTGTAGTCAGACGACCAAGCGAAGAATACTCTAGCCTCAATAACCAAGTCCCACAGCGCTGTTTCGAGCTGTCTGTGTACAGAGGACAGCGGTAGCATATTCTGCGATGAAGGTGACGGCGTGGGGAATGAGTTCTTGGAGGATGAGTTTGAGGATAAATGGATTCATAAGAACAATCTGTGGGAGAGTTTGACTTGTCTGCTTGTACATAGTGAAGAGTGTTTGGTTTTGATGATTCACAGGGAGAGTGAGCACTTGCCTGCTTGTGATTATTTGACAAGATTGAGAAACGTGGGGACTGGTTACAGTGAAGGTGCTATCAAAGTGATGGATGCCGGTAGAAAGGAGTCTCCATCCAATCAACCATCTTCTGCAACATTTGTCCAAACAGGTAATCCTGTTGCATGTGTGTCTTCTACGTTTACACAGTGGGTCATTGACTCCGGAGCTAGTGACCATATGACAGGTAATCCTAATATTTTCTCCACATATTTCCCGTCTAACCCTGGGGCTATGGTTACTCTAGCAGATGGGTCATCTGTTCCAGTTTTGGGTAGAGGTAGTGCTGTTGCAACTTCATCATTATTCATTACCCCTGTCATCTATATTATATCTTCCAAAGTTTCCCTTTAATTTGCTTTCTATTAGCCAAATTACATGGACTTTGAATTGTTCGGTCTCTTTTTTCCCGGGATATTGTTTATTTCAGGATCTTTTGACGAAGAAGATTATTGGTAAGGGGAAGGAAGTCGGAGGGCTGTATGTATTGGAACAGCCTGTATCTCCGTCCAAGGCTATGTTGAGTGATACCTCTCCTTTCCAGTTACACTGTCGGTATGGTCACCCATCACTGTCAATCCTAAATAAGCTCTTTCCTGGTTTAGAATCATTGTCCACTTTGCAGTGTGAGTCATGTGAGTTTGCTAAGCATTGTCGAGTTTCCTACCCTCCTCGTGTCAATAAAAGAGTACAATCTATATTTGAACTTGTTCATTCTGATGTCTGGGGTCCTTGTCATGTCACAGGGAAGAATGGGTTTAGATATTTCGTAACATTTGTGGACGATTTCTCTAGATGTACATGGTTATATCTTATGAAGTCTAGGGATGAATTGTTCACTATTTTTTGCAATTTTTGTGCTGAGATTAAAACCCAGTTTAATAAAACTATTAAGTGTGTGCGGAGTGACAATGCACAAGAATATTTCTCTAAACATTTTTCCACTTATATGAGCCAAAATGGGATAGTTCATCAATCCTCGTGTGCATATACCCCTCAACAAAATGGAGTGGCAGAAAGAAAAAACCGTCATTTGTTAGAAGTAGCCCGGGCAATTTTGTTTCAAATGAAAGTGCCTAAGGTCTTTTGGTTGCAATAGTTGATTGCAGATCCGTAATATGAAAGATGAGAAGAAGAATGATTGGAGGAATAAAATGGAGATTGGAGGAATAAGCGGACGAAAACCTACGAAAGGGGGAGTCGATTAAAATTAATGGAGGAATAAAGATAATTCCCTACTGTATAATATTTAACGGCAGTTAACCCTACTTAACGCTAACATAATATGTTTGGGCATTTTTGACAATAAAAATATAATGTACAACATTAATAACACAATGTACATGAAAGTAAGCAGTTCAAAAATGGACAAAAACCAGGGATATAACTATCATTGAAACTTATTTTGTTTTTAGATTGTGGCAGTATTGCAGCGCGCTATGTCAGCAAATTAAAAGACCTCTGCGCCATATTATAACTGTGATAACTCATATAATTGAAAAATGAAAAAAATTTGTGAGACTGTCTCACGGATATATCTTTATCCGTGAAATGAGTCGGGACAATATAAAAAAATATAATACTTATACTAAAAAATATAATACTAATCATGAATAAAATGTTTGTTATTTATAAGGGAAAATGTAATACTTTTATAAGAATATTGCTGGAAATATATAATAGTGAAGAGGTTGGCCTGGTGTTCTAGGTGTCAAAAGATGGAGAATGAAGATTTCAAATAGAGTTAGTTGTAAAATTCGTATTTTATTAAAACCTAATGTGAGTACTGGTTATTATTTGATCCAATCATTTGAGGGGTGTCATTATCACTGGGTTTGAGGGGTGTCATTATCACTGGGTGTGTTTAGTTCGCATATGGGAATCGCAATCGGAATGTGTATCAAATACTTGGTAATAGTAATGGATTTTGATAAAAATATTTTGCATGTTTAGTAGTAGGGTGGAATGAGAATGATTATCAATAATGCTATTTGGTTATGTATGATCCTATAATGGGAATAAAAATTTTTAAAATACAAGAATACAAAATCAAGACAATTAATTCTAATATAAAGACATCCAAAACATCAATATGATTATATGAAAAAAAAAAAAAACCTGGAATGGAACCCTTATAAAATAAGGGAATGTGTTTTTCAATTAATGGGGTTTCTAAACCCATAGTAGTACGTACTGTTTTAAAAACCAGTCAACCAAATAATAACAATCACTTTCATACCCATTTATGAGTGTTAAACCTGTTAACCAAACACACTCTATATATCTTCACTTTTGTCTCGGCAATTTTTTAAGATGAATAAAAATTTTGATCTGACATTAAACCTAACTTAAGAATTTTATAATCAATCTTTAATTAAAATAATATAGAAATAAGGGTTAAATAAGTCGATTTTTTCGTCTCCGGTTATGGATTCTTCATCTCCAGCCATGGAGACGAAGAAGGTTTCTTCGTCTCCGGCCGGATTCTGTTTTTTTTTTTTTAATAATTAATTTTTAAACTTTATTTTTTAAAAACTAATTAATTTGGGAGGATTACCTGTTGACCTGTTGGAAATCTTCAAATTGGAAGAATTTGTTTGAAATTGATTAGTTTAGGGATCCAATTGTTTGATTTTTTGGATTAAGTGCCCTAATTACATTATCGTGTGCAGTTCGATGGCCTATTTGACCCTTATTCCAATAATATATAATTTTTTGCCATAAGTGGCTACTACTTTAGGATACAACAAGAAGTCAATTAGTTTCCTTTTATGTTCATACTGTATTCATTCTTAGCCCCATTTTTTGACATTCGCAACCTACAATGATTGTAGTATTGCCATGTTGAAGCAAATTCAAAGACGGATGGATAGAATACTCATCCATCTTTTGAGTACTTTGTTTCAGTATTTGTGTGGCCATTGTTGTCGTTTCTTTTGTGTCTGCTGTATATGTACCTTCTAGAATCTAGAGTATATATGTTCTTGGATATATGTTTACACATCTTACTATTTTGCATGTAGAGATTTTTTTTTTTTTTTTTTTTGAAATGTTGATTACGATATAATTTATTACTAAATAGGAAAAAGACGTACTTTTAATCTTTTAATTGAATTGTGGTGTAGATTTAGTCTCGATCTCTTATTTATTTTTTAATTTTTTTGGACAAATTAAAAATTTAGAGGGAGTGAATAGATTTTTATATTTTAAAACAAATTAGTACAAATTATTTTGCCCTGCTTGAGTAAAAAAAAAAAAACGCATTATGAGTTTGATTAAGTTTGAAAGCATTTTGAAGTTTGTTTTTTGTTTATATGGATGTTACACATCTAAAATATTCCATGTTGTTAGGAATATTTGTTTTAAATTTTGATGATACCAAATGAGAGGAACTTTAGACCCCAATTATTTTATTTTTTAGACTGAGGATATTTCTGCTCAACATTCTAAACCAACCGAATAGTACATCGAGTAGTAACAATTCTTTCTATCTGAAAGTTAACTCGAGAGGACTGTCTCAACATCAAACTCGAAGAGTAACCCGAGTGGTTAACTGACGAGTGGTTCGAGCTGAAAACTAAAAGACTGAAGATTCGAAGAGCACGGAAGATATTAAGACCGAAAGATTGCAAAGACCGAGAAGTAGAAGGTTTACCTTTTGAAATGTCGCAAAGGTCAAAGATAGGAAGGACCTACCTTTCGAGGAGTTAAGGGGCAAGTGGTAAGGTCAACCATTCTTATCCGAGAGGACCTAAGGCTCGAGGCGTTAACCTAGTTAACCACTTGATAGGACTGCTCGAGACATTCTCTGAGTTGTACAGTCCGAAACCTTTAAAAAATTGATTTTTTCATTAAATGCCCCGACATTTTGTGCAGAACAAAAAACAAAGTTCAACACAAAATAAGTCCAATTATTCTAGCTCTATTACATTGTAGTATCTGTTCATATACTTTCTAGAGCTAATAACGCCTCCACTGAGGCTTGAACTCACAATCTTCCAAATGGAAATCCAACCCGGGTACCATTAGACCACATAGTCCTGGTAAATAAGTCCAATTATTTGATTAAATGAATAGTCCAGATTATTTTGATCTTAGTATTTTTTTATTATTATTTTATTATTACTTTACTATCTGTTATATTTTTTTTCTCTTAAATACCACCGCATTCTGTTAGTATAAACTTTAGTAACGGAATATTTCGGTAACTATTTATTATTCTTAACTTACTCATTGATTTATATATTTATAAAAAAAAAAAAAAAAAAAAAAAAAAAAAAAAAAAAAGCCTTAGAACTCATCCCTATATATATATATATATATATATATATATATATATATATATATATATATATATATATATATATATATATATATATATATATATATATATATATATATATATATATATATATATATATATATATATATATATATATATATATATATGGAATAAGGTTCAAATTGGCCACTGAACGAAAAAAAAAAAGTGCAATTAGACCATTGAACACTCAAAAAATGTGCAATTAGGCCACTGAACTCTCCAAACGTATGCAATTTTACCGGATAGCAGGTTACCATTAATTTTAGCTGGTTACCTGCTTACGTGGCAGCTTAGTTGGCATTTTTAATAATTTTTAAATAATTTTTAATAATTAATTTTAATAATAAATTTTATAAAAAAATTGGAAAAAATTAAATAAAAAGTAAAATAAAGTCGTTTTTATTTTTTAAAAATTTTTTTAATAAAAAGTTATTATTAAAATTTATTAAAAATTAATTAAAATTTATTAAAAATGCCAACTCAGTTGCCACGTAAGCAGATAACCTGCTAAAATTGAGGGTAACCTGCTATCAGGTGAAATTGCACATTTTTGGAGTGTTCAGTGGCCTAATTGCAATTTTTTTTCGTTCAGTGGCCTAATTGCATTTTCAGGTTACGTTCAGTGGCCAATTTGAACCTTATTCCTATATATATTTGTGTGTGTGTGTGTGTGTTAAAGTATAGTGTATTAAAAAATATAATATAAAAGTTAACATTAACTTTGGTCAAATAATTAGTTCGACTAAATACATATCATTCAAAGTTGAGCATCAAAGATTGCAAATAATTAAGGAATTTTGAAATTCATTTTCTTGCTCTTTTTTTTATTAAATAAATAAATAAATTTAGGTTAAGTTTTTTTTTTTTTTTCCTTTTTTCGTTTAATTAATCTTCTTTTGATTATTTAAAACAAGACTCAATATTTCAGTTATGCTTTTGCATTATTGGAATGATTTAGGTCATTATGGTATTAATATTCTTTTTATGTATTTCTATAATGGTACAATAATTGCACATTACTTTACAAATATTGTACTATATATTATTTTTTTTATCGAACAAAATTGTTCTTACATCATTGTCAAACTTGCACGACCTATCTACAAAGTTGTTGATCAGAAATACAACTACACCTAGACTCTAAACAGTAGAATCATTGTCCAAAAAATTGACAATATTGACATCCCACTAGCTCCATGCCAATTGAATAAGTTTACACATCATTCTCAGAATTTTATCAAAGATTGTAAACTTCTAAAGAAATTTGTAAGTTAATTTTTACTATTTCATTATAACAATATCTATTCAACCATATATTTCGAATTATTTATCCCCATCCACTATTGACAGCAATTCTCTCAAAACAATTTGTCTCAACAAGAAATCCTGAGTTGGTTAAAAAAAGAATTCTTAAAGTCAAACAATTCCACTCACACTTCATTATATTGGTTCGTCTTCACAGAGCTATATATGACATGACATATGCATACAAAGTGAAATTATTATGATATAAACGTACAGCATATATATATATATATATATATATATATATATATATATATATATATATATATATATATATATATATATAGCATGTAATTTGTTGTGATGATGATTCATCATTATATTATTACACGTTTTGTGCGGGTGCCGGAGATATTTGATGATTGTAATTGTTGTGCATGCTTTCAACGCCGCAACTAAGGATGGCGGCGCCGCAGCGGCCTATGTCGGCAACCGCCGTTATATTACTGACCGGGGAATTGAATGGGGATAAGATAGATGAAAACCAACTGGATATATAGTGAGATGGAATAATGGTGAGCGAGCTTCCACATGTATGTTTACATGACAGGAGTACGTGGTGAAGAGTTTAAGTGTACGTGAAGTTTAAATTTTCAAATTATAATAGTGGCGAGCTAAGTGATATATATAGGGAGTTAGGATCAGGTGAGATCACTTTGCTCATATGAGATCGTGAGATTCATTTCAATCATTCAATTAATTTTAATTAATGGATAGGGAGTTAGGATCAGGTGAGATCACTTTGCTCATATGAGATCGTGAGATCCATTTCAATCATTCAATTAATTTTAATTAATGGTAAAGATTGAATTTAAAGATCCATTTATATTATGATATTATTAATACATAGGGGAGGCATAGTAATTTTAGTTACTTCCTTTGAATTGGAATATAATTGAAATACAATATTATCTTTATTTAGAGAGATTCTATCAATGGTATCAATAAAAACTAAAATTAAAATATTGAAGGAATGAATCATATTGAGTAGAACCCGACGGTGACTCCAATGACTGAAGAAAATATTTTTTTTTTCGTTTTCTAGCCATTGAAGTCTAATAAGTTATATACCCCGGATCCGTGCCATCGCTTACAGTCGGGTCAGGGTCTTGACCTACGGGTCGAGGTCAAATTAAGGTGACGGGTCAAACCCGCCACCTCGGTAGCCCTATAAAAGGGCCTTTAGGCCTTTGAGTTTGAGGAGGTCATTTTGGGCTATCTCTCGGCCCTCTCTCACTAAACTATCATAGACAACACTCCCTCTCCCTTCTCTCTACAATATAGATAAACATACAAGAACATTTTGAATAAAAGAAGTACATTTGAGCTATTCATTGTCTTTTCCCTTCTTGTTCATACATTCTTATACACATATATATATACATCTAGTACATACACCCTATATGGGGGAATTAGTACTATCAGGGTTTGACCTGTTACCTTGGTAGCCCTATAAAGAGAGCTCATTTGCCACTTGAGCTACCCTGTTGGGTTTAATATGATTCTTGCGTTTAATTTTTAAATTATTATTTTTTTTAGTTTGATTCCCTACCATACCATTGATAGGATCCCTCTAAATAAAGATAATATTGTATTTCAATTATATTCTAATTCAAAGAAGTAACTAAAATTACCATGCCACCGCCCGGTTTGCACATCTGGATAATTGTTTGAATATGGTTCTGTCTCAGGAAGAGGCTTTTTGGAGACAGCGTGCTAAGCAGCACTGGCTGCAAGGTGCTGATCGAAATACCAAGTTCTTTCATAAGTATGCTTCCCGCCGGAAAAAGAAGAATGTTGTAGAAAAGTTGAAGGGTGATGATGGGGCTTGGAAGGAGGGGCCGGCATTGGATTCGCTGGTGGCTTCCTATTATAAACAAATCTTCACTTCTGGTGGATCCCCGGGGTCTTTCAGTGTGGATACTATGCGGTCTCGTGTGACTGAAGTTCAGAATGCTCATCTACTGCGCCCTTTTGAGCCGGAGGAGGTCCGCGCTGCGTTGTTTTCTATGGGCAAGGACAAATCACCTGGCCCTGACAGAATGAATCCGGGTTTCTACCAAGCCTTCTGGGATGTTATTGGTAAGGATGTTACGTCTTTTGTGCTTAATTGTCTCTCTCAGTCATCTTTACCTGATTGCTTGAATGATGGGAACATTGTTTTGATCCCCAAAAAGTGTGCCCCTGAGTATGTTTCTGATTTGCGCCCGATAGCTCTGTGTAATGTTTTATATAAAGTAATGGCTAAGATGTTAGCCAATCGCATGAAGCCTTTATTGGAGGATATTATTTCAGAATCACAGAGTGCTTTCCTCCCAAGTAGGCTAATCTCAGATAATATTTTGGTTGCCTCTGAGGTTGGCCATTATTTGAGAAGGAAGTAGTTAGGTCATGTGGGGTGGGCAGCCCTGAAGCTTGATATGGCTAAGGCGTACGATAGGATGGAGTGGCCCTTTGTGAATGACATGTTGGTGGGTTTGGGCTTTGATGCTAAGTGGATACAGTTGATTATGATGTGTATTCAAGCCGTGCAGTATAGAGTTCTGGTAAACGGTAGGCCTACTGAGGTTATTGTGCCTTCTAGGGGTCTACGCCAAGGGGACCCCTTGTCTCCGTATTTGTTTAACATTTGTGCCGAAAGGTTGTCTTTACTCTTGCAGGATTCGCAGGCGAAGGGGCGTATACATGGATGTAGGGTGGCCCGGGGGGCTCCACCGATCTCACATTTGTTCTTTGTAGATGACAGTTTACTCTTCTTTAAAGCCAATCTGCAGGAGACTCAAGAGGTGAAAAGATGTCTGAGTGTGTATGAGACGTTTTCTGGCCAAGCGGTGAATTTTCATAAATCAAGTGTGTCGTTTAGTCGGAATACTCAGGAGGAGATGAGAGATCTTGTCTCAGGGACCTTAACGGTGGCACAAGCAGAGGATTTCGGTAAGTACCTGGGGTTGCCTTCAGTTATTGGTAGGAACAGAAGGGCGGTTTTTGCTTACATTGAGAAAAAATTGAAACAAAGGTTCGGCTCATGGAATAAGAGGTTACTGACTAAAGCCGGTAAGGAGGTACTTTTGAAGAGTGTTGCTCAGGCTATGCCAACTTATACAATGAGTATTTATCTGCTCTCGACTACTTTACGTGTCTCTTTGGAAAGATTGATGAACAGGTATTGGTGGGGTCAGGGTGGAAATGATGGTAGCATCCATTGGTTGGCTTGGGATAGGATGTGTAAACCCAAGAAGTATGGAGGAATGGGTTTCAAACGGCTTCATGAGTTTAACTTGGCTTTATTGGCAAAGCAAGGGTGGCGCCTACTAACTAGTCAGAAGTCCTTAATGGCTCGTGTTTTTAAGGCAAGGTACTTTCCTACTACGTCCTTTTATGAGGCTGTTTTAGGGGGTAATCCCAGTTATGTGTGGAGGAGCATTATGGCTAGCCAGAACTTGTTAAAGTCGGGGTGCAGGCGCAGGATTGGCAATGACAGGGATACTCAGATATGGGGAATTCCTTGGCTACCGGATCTGCAGAACCCCTATGTTGATTCTGTCCAGGTAGATAATGGTCATGACTTGTTGGTTTCGGACTTAATTGATGCAAGCACCGGGAGTTGGAAAAATGATTATTTGCAGCAGCTGTGTTGTGGGCACGGGAATCAACAATTGATTGTTAGAATATTTTAGAATTAGTTTTATTATTTAATTATGATGATTATCTTAAATTTATCTTAGATTTAAATTTGTTAGTATTATATTATTATTAATGTTTATCTTAGTTGGTTAGTTAGGATTAGTTTATCCTATTCTTAATAACTATCTCATTCATGTGGTTGTAATTTGGTTGTTAATGGCTATTTAAGGTCATTGCATTCTAAATGAAATATACAGTTAAGAATTTTTGAGATAGGAAACTGAGTGTTTTCTAGAACTCGGGAGAGTTCGACCATGATCAAGTCATGGTGATCCTGACTTATCAAGTGTGAAACCTCACTTGTGGCGTCGTCCCAAATCCTACGTATCACCGTATAACCCGGTGTGGCCGAGGACTTATCAAAAATACAAAAACAAACCCTTATACCCAGCCTAAATTAAACCTTTTAATTAGATTTCACCTAGCCTAATAAACTGTTCTGAAATATTATTTTAGTCAGAGTGTGAAGAGAAGATCGGGTCAACCAGGTTCGCATCAAGCTGTTTAATACACGAGACGCAAGGCTGATCCGTCAGTTGCCTGTGAGTACGGATTATGTTGATATGTGGTATTGGGAAGGCGATATAAGGGGTTGCTATTCGGTGAAGGACGGTTATAGGCGGTTGGGCCTGATGACTACACAACCAACTCCTGTGTGGAATAAAGTTTGGAAATTGCAGGTTCCCCCAAAGTGGAAGGTGTTTTTGTGGAGAGCTCTTCTGAATATATTGCCCACTCTTGATAATTTGATAATTAGGAGGGTTGTCGATTTTAATTCTTGTCCGTCATGTGGCTTAGATACGGAATGTGTTATGCATATTTTTTGTTCTTGCCTGTATGCTATTAATGTTTGGCAGCTGTCTCAAATTCAAATTCCTCCTATTGCCAACAAGAATTTTGTGCATGGGCGGAGGAGTGGCTCGGTGATGATACGGTTTTCTCAAGTGAAATGCAGGGCCGTATTTGTGGTGTGCTTCATTCTATCTGGACTACACGCAATTCCGCTGTGTGGGATGCAGCTATGCCGGGTCCTAGCGTACTGCTCTGCCGGCTTCACGCGCAATGGTCCGCCTGGAAAGACACCGAGCTACGACGAGTTGCGGCAAGTGGAAGAAATTCAGACACGGGACCAGCGCACGCCTCCCCTGCTACGCCCGGCACCTTTTCATGTTTCGTGGATGCTGGTTTCCATGGACCGCAACGAGCCCCCGCTTTCAGATTTGTGGTGTACGGCGGCGACTTGTCCTTCGTGGTGGCGGCAAACAGCCCCTTGGCTTGTCCGTATGACCCCCTTCTAGCAGAAGTTATGGCTTTGTGTGAAGCCCTCTCTTGGCTAAGGATAAATGGGTACTCAGGTGGCTCAATCTACACGGATTCATCGCTTTTGGTCTCTAGTCTTATTTCTGTTAGTTCGTTTCGTAATTACTTTGGTTTTACTCTTTTAGCATGTAAACACTTAGTTAATGCGTTGCCTGGTTCTGTTGTTTGTTATGTTAATAGGGAGGCCAACCAAGTGGCGCACTCCTTATCTAAACATGTAGCTGCTGTTGCAGAACGTTCAGTTTGGAGGGATGTTCCTCCTTCGTTTATTCAGTCCATGCTGGCTAATACAATCTGATTCTTTTGACTTTCAAAAAAAAAAAAAATTTTATATCTTAATATAAATGAGTCTTTAAATTCAATCCTTACCATTAATTAAAATTAATTGGATGATTGAAATAAGATCTCATGATCTCAACTACAAGGGTGGTCTCACAGAATCCCTTCCCTATATATATATGTGTAGTCACTCTTAACTGATACATACTCTAATCCCTAAAATCAATCCACATCCCAACCCTTTAAATAAGACGATATATTTATACCTATTACTCTATTATTATTATATATATGTTACATATATATTTGATCTGACTTTTTAAAGAAATATGAAATCTTAATATTTGTATGGATATGCACACACAAAATATACTATAGAAATTGAAAATTAATTACGGAGTATATTAAATGAGTTGAACATATTTGTTAATTTAAGAGAAAATAGAAATCAGATTAAACGTGCGAAAAAAAAATCAGATTAAACATATTACAAAGAAATCGGGTGCATGTCAGGTTTGTGTTGTGAAGAATGCAGTTAATCGAGATTTTAAGGTTTAATGGTTACATGTTTTAAATTTTGTAAGGTGGTAGCTAGGTTAGACACGATAGAAAGATCGCGATGTTGTTTAAAATGTCAATCAATAAAATCTTGAGAAGATCGATAATAAGATGATATTAGTATTTTTTTTTAAAGTCAAAAGTGGAAGATAATTTTAAACCAATAAGTCAAGTACAAAATCAAAAGGAGCATCCTCTTAGACATAGCGACCAGACTGGGAACCAACCGTCTTAGTTAATGCATGAGCATGTCAATTTTCTTATCGACAAATATAACGAATGTAACAAGAGTTCAAAGAATTCATAATAAGTAGATGTTAAAATTACACATAATTATATATTGAAAATTACAAAAAGAAAAATAATACTCCGTACTATCTTATTATTCAAATAGTTACAAAAATTCTTTAACTTGACTCATGTTTAACTCTTCAAGTTTATAAGTATGATATGACAGGGTAATCCAGTGTCCCAATTGAGTTGGTTGACGGTTGGTTTGATAACTAAAATGTTTCAAGTTCAATTTCTTTGTGAAAATTACTTATTGGCATTCTTAATTTAATCCGGTCGATTATTAGAAACTCTAGACTAGCTAGTAGCGACTGTGGGTTATGGGCTTTCGCGTAAGTCAAAGTCGACTTTATGCAGTAAGTTTGACTGAGAAAGTGTAGGCAATATATAATTGAAGTTGTAACATTTAAGTATGAGAATTATGCTCCACTCACTTAGCTTGTCAAGCCTTTTCAAGACATATATTATTTATTAAATATATAAATGGATGTACATTTTTATAATATTTTATATTTTAAAAATACTCAATATATAATTGATTTGAAGATTGAATACAAAAGCCTTAAAATGGGAGTTCGAGGTTGTGTGAGTGGGCCGGGGTATAATTTTCCAATTCTTACTAACACTATTTCAGATGAGCTTGTCGCATAGTCTTCTTAGTGCATCAATGCAAGGGGAGTGTTGGTCTAACTCTATATATTGTATTTTGTTCTTAGTTTTTCTCTTTGTTTTGATATACCAAACAAATTATTGATTTATATTTTGCAACAATTAAATATTAATAGTCAAATAAAAATGTAACAATTTTTTTTAAAAAAAATATTTTTGAACTAACTTTAAATCTTTAATGGAAACTGAAATAATTTAACATTAATTAGTAAACATATTTGAATTATTATATGATTTGAATATTGAATCTCATCTATATGACTATATCACTCATCAAATTCAACTCAACAACGAATGCTATTTATTACTAGTTATTACAATAACTAGTAGATAGTGATCTTAGTTTGTTCTTCTCCTTTTACTATATGGATATACATTAATACATTATACATGCATACATATACATACAATAATGTGTGTATACATATACGCATAAAATTTTACATTGATTTTTCTTTTTGAGTACTCTTGACTCAATATCTTCGATGAATGTTGGTAATCTCTATGATCATATTGTATGTTGAGCATATAATATATAAAAGCATAAATATTTAGTCTAGCTAATTATTAATTTAAAGTTTTAATTAAGTTAGAGTGCATCATTTAACTCTATTTAATAGCATTCTGATCCTTATTATTCAATTCAATTCAAAATGGAGATGATCTCTTGTCATCAATGATATATCCACACATATAAGTCAAATTATTAGGCTCATTGCTAATTTGAGTTGATTGATGTTAAAATCCTTAAGTTGATAAAGTATGAAATAGTAAAACATATGATAACATTCGTTTTATAATTATGACATTTTATATTGTACAATCGTATTTATTAGTTTGTAATATACGGTTAATATTCTTTGTTATTGAATATTATGTAATGACATTTTTATATGATAATAATGTACTTCATGATATTTGAAATGTAATTGATTTAATTACTGAATAAGAATAAATATACTGTTTCTCCAATTTGTCCACTCAAAGAGGAACCTCCTACTGGTATGATGGCTAATGTTATCAGCGACTATAGGAGATGAATGAAGAAGCAATGACATATAAAGGTGAACCATGTGTTCATATATAGAACAGTACAAAGTGGCCGACATTTTGGCGAAGCGATGTTAATATTGGATTACTTAACGACGATTTGTTGTAGGGATGGCAATTTACTCCGTTCCCGATGAAGATTTTCGATTCTCGCCCCCGTCCCAACGGGGATTTGAAAATTTTTTGAGGAACGGGGACGGGGTACCCCGCCCCGTCCCCAAATAATTATTAAAATTTAAAAATCAATATATATATATATATATATATATATATATATATATACCAAGACCTTGTGGTCTAATGGCACTCGGGTTGGACTCTTATATGGGAGGTTGTGAGTTTGAGTTTCAATGGAGGTGTTTTAATTTTTAAAAATAAAAATTACACTAACTTAAAATTTTGACTAAGAGTTAATTGGGGACGGAAATTCTTAATTCCCTGCGTGGACAGAGTCAGAGATGGAGATTATTTTCAATTCCCCGTCAGGGATGGGGACAGGGACGAGGACGGGGAGTATCCGCGTCGGGCAATTAGTTTACACTAACTCAAAATTTTGACTAAGAGTTAATCGGGGACGGGAATTCCTAATTCCCTGCGGGGACAGAGAGTCAAAGATGGAGATTATTTTCAATTCCCCGTCAGGGATGGGGACGAGGAGTATCCGCGTCGGGCAATTAGTTAGGGACTGACTGTCAGGCAGAAACATCAGAAGCTTGGGCGCTGCTGAAAGAGATCCTTCTTGCAAAATCTCTTGGCTGCAGTTGCGCTTGCTTTGAAACAGATTAAAAAACCATTTCCGACGCTTTCACTTCCAGATCCAGCCTTGGCAGCATTTCAGACAATATCCTAGCAGCATGTAGAAGAGAGCTCGAAAGCTTACAAGAATGGCACATTGGCCTCATCCTAAGAGACCAGAACAACGCAGTTGATTTCCTCGCGAGGACTCCAGAGGACCAAAGGGGTACCACACTCTTCTTTGATCCTCCACTGAGCTTTCATTGATTCTAGACGAGGACAAATGTGGCATTTCTATATGGCGTCAAGTTGAAACCTAGCTGTTCGTATCGGATCACTCCCTTCCTTATTGATCTAAAAAAAATTAAACAGACAATCATTATTCGTTCCGTTTTTATTTCCATTTTTTTAAAAAATTTTGTTGAGTACCAATAGAATTTATGGAAAATATTTTTGAATTCTAAGTTTCTAACCATTGTGATCGAGACATTAAGCTGAGAGGGTGTGGTGCAATGCTTACACCCCAAAAATTAATTTTGAGTGTTTTTTCTTTTTCCTCCCAAAACTTCCATTGAATCTTTAATTTTGGATACCTTGTCCAAAATTCATCGAACAAATCCTTTAAAACACACATTGATCACGTGAATTCCGGATGCAATTAGACCACGCGCCCTAAGTGAGCCAATAACATACGGCCGTGGTCCGCACTAACCAATGCTGCGATTGGGATAAAACTTTCCCTTTTTAATAAACTGCGAGGAGAAAATAGTAGTAGAAATTAGGAAACGAAAAAAAAAAAAAAAAAAGAGTACGAATCAGAGAGAGAAAGTAGAGAGAGAACGGGGAGTATCGAAGCGAAGCGGAGAGAGCGATCGGCGAGAGATACAGGCGAGTGGGTGTTGAGTATATTTCGATTTCTTGGGAGACAATTGGAATGCGAAGCAATTTATAGAGGGAGAAAGAAGCAATGGAAGAGGAAGCTTGCGCCTGGGTTCCAACGAACAAGTAGCAAGAAAGATATTTATCAGAAAAAAAGCAAATTTTTAGAGTATTAATGTTTTGTTTTCTGAATCTGAATTTTCGAATCAGTTTCAGAGAGCTCCAATAAGGTCAGCCCAGTTTTTCTCTTTCTCGCGCTCTCTGTATCAGGCCTTAATTTTGAGCTTGAATCCCTGTAGTTTGCACCTCAATTTCCTGTTGCAATAAATTTGAACTTGAAGTTGGAAGCTTCAAGTTTTCGTCTTTGTTTAAAAGGTGGCATTTTGAGGTTGTTCCTTGGTGTTCAGGGGATTTGGGAGTTTAACTCATTGAATTGGGAAGAAAACTGGGCTTTACTTGGAGTCGGAGGATAGTATCCTAGTAGCGAATGAAGGGTTTATTTCGTTTGTAGTTCGGATTGTGTTTTTGGGGGTTTTGGGTTCAGAATTTGAAAATTTCCGGATTTGGGATTTTTGGAGGGAGAGTTAGTTTGGGGGGGATTTGGATCTCCAGCTGTGAACTGGCTCAATCCAATCTCTATTGTGTTGGAAGTTGAAGTTTTGCAGATGGTTTCGGGTTCAGCATTTTCGGGTTTGCTGTTAGAGGGGTTGGATCTTGTCTGGAGGATGAGCATTTGGAAATGTAGCAAAACCCTAATTTAGTGGTGGAATTGGGGTTATGAGGTTTAGGTATCCTTGAGCAGTGGAAAAACTGTTTGTTGAATTGTTCTTTGGCTTTCTGCATGTACTTTAGGTGTTGAAGAGAGAGAGAGAGATGCAACCACCACATCAGCATTCACGAATCAATCTTGTTGAACTGAAATCTCAAATAGTGAGGAAACTTGGACCAGAGAGGTCAAAGCAGTATTTTTATTACTTGAATAGGCTGTTGGGGTTGAAGATAAGCAAGGCTGAATTCGATAAGCTTTGTGTTCGGACTCTCGGGAGAGAGAACATTTCGCTGCATAATCAGTTCATTCATTCGATTTTGAAAAATGCTTCTAGTGCCAAGGCTCCACCATCAGCTCGTGAGAATGAAATTTTAGTGCACGCTACTGGAGTTGCGAATAAAGAGCCTGTAGATGCTGCTGCCATTGAGCAAAATGGAGCTTTTCTTGATCATCGTAAGGCTGGGGACCATCACGGTTCACTTGGACTGAATGGGAAGATTATTTCCAGTTCTCAACAATCAATACTCGCTGGATCACGTGATTTTAAAGTTATTGAGGAGAATGGGGATTACAGGACACCCGATGTTCAGAAGGCAGGGCAGCAAACGGGGAACAATGCAGAGGAATCAGGTCATGACCCTACGAAATTTCCATTAATAAAGAGACCATCTTTTGCTCCAGTTTCTGTACATAGCAAAGACCAAGGCAGAGGTGAAGGAAAAGAAAGCCATGCTAAGGTCCAACCACAAGCTCCACTCGGGGTTCCATTTTGCCAAGCTAGTGTGGGTGGTGCACGTAGAGCATTGCCATTGGGAACTGGTAGTAAATGCGTTAGTACTTCTACAAGTGGTACTCTTTTAGACAGTTTAACGCTGAGGGAACGGATGGAGCAGATTGCTGTAGCACATGGCCTTGAAGGGGTGTCTATGGATTGCGCCAATTTATTGAACAACGGTTTGGATTCGTACTTAAAAAGTATAATTAGGTCTTGTGTTCAACTTGTGGGAGCGAGGTCTGGACACGAGCCAACAAAACCCACCAAGAAGCATCCAACATATGGGAAGCTTGTTAATGGCGTTGGGCCAGGCCATAATTTGCAGTTAAGTAGTTGTAGGCCTTTGGAAGCCATACAGGAGCATACACCCCGACCCCGTAACCTAATCTCATTGCAAGATTTTAAGGTTGCCATGGAGCTGAATCCCCAGCAACTCGGTGAAGACTGGCCATTGCTGCTCGAGAAAATATGTACACAGGCATTTGATGAATAAGATGTGCTTTGATCCTGGATTGGTCTCTACTCCCTACTGAATGAAAGGCATCGATATTTCCGAGGCCTTTGTGCAGCTCCTTTCTCTGCTCTTTCTAAGGCCTTTTTGCAACCTTAACGGTACAATTTTCTTTGGTGGCCTTTCCGACCAGTCTGCAGCTGTTGACAAAAATCTTGGTTTCTTACAAGCCGGTAGGGGGCAGGGCAGGGTTCTGTTGTCTCATACTGCTACAGAGCTTGCCATCAGCTAGAGACACCTCATTTATTAGCGACCATTGGAGGGGCTCCAACGCAAGAATGCCCAACAACTTGGTTGCCCTGTTGTATGATTAGCGTAATTCTCACTCCATATTTTCTGCATTCTCGTGTAATTTACAGTCAATGAGGAATTTAGAACAGTTTTGCAGGAATAATGATGTAGCCTAGTTCATTAGCTGGAAGGTGAAGGTGAATCATGCTAGAGTTCATGTGTATGTATCATCAAAATCAAGATTGATCGGAATCCAATATTAACAACACATTTTCGTCACTAGCCTGATCATGGTAGTTTGAATTTTTAATTTTTTATAAAGATTTTTTCTATAACTTCTTAGTGCCTCTTCATTTTTTTTTTTAATTAAATTTTATGGTGCTTAGACATGCTCTTTACAGATTTCATTTGTATAATTGGAAATGGTGCAGTGTCAAATACACATTGTAATCATTCTTCTATTCTTTTTTATGAATACATTATATTCATACTTTTAATTGCTGTGAAATGGTAGAGATATTTCTCATACTGAGGTAACATTTCTTTTGAAGAAAATTAGTTTTACTTGTTTGGTGGAAAGAAGTGCTTCATAGCCAATCTGTAAATTAAATTGAAGAATGCCCCCGACATGGTTATTAAAGTTATCTAAGTTGGAAACAGATAGGATATAAGAAAGCTTTATACTAGTGGGCTAAGGTAAGTGGCCAATTTCCACAACGTGATTGCATACGATCTTACGAATTGAAATCATCAATTCCATTAAGCAGTTTCTTAAGAACAATATTAGAATTCCAAAATGAGATTTGAGTTCATATATTTTCTACTTCTGACCTTTTATCTCTTTAATGCTGTTTTTTCCTTTCATGGGTAATGTTTAGTTACCACCATTGCAGTAGTGTTGTGTACTCAAGACTGATGACCGAAAAAATTTAAATTATTACTTTTACATATGATGTCCTTCTATTAGTCTGATCATGATCAGATGTGTTCATTTATTTATGATATGCCTCATCTGTTAGATCCATGATGGACAATCTGAAGTGTGGTTCATGAGAAATCTAAAAACTTATTTTGGTTGGAGATACCATGCTAACTTCCTGGAAGCAGGAAACGAAAAATTTTCCAGAGGCTTGCGGGTTCAGGAAGAAGAATACTTAGTGCATGGAATAATGATTAAGACTACCAAGAACTCGGGAAGTTTGGAATAATTGCTGGATATTGATTTTTATTTTTTTTATTATTATTATTTTTTTTAATAGTAACCATACTACTGTTGCTTGTGCAGTTCTATATTCTGCCTTTTGAAACCAATATGAGGCTCTCATATCATGAAGGATCTGGGGAAGAAAGTATGCAGGTATGCAACCTTACCTTTAAGCGAGGTAAATGTTAAATGCTGCTTTGCTATTTATAGGACCAATGTTTGAAGTCAATCGTACGCTAGTTGAGGCCTTTAACTTTCTAACTGCTAATTTTAAGAGATTTGGAATCACTTGTCTTAGTCGTTGCCTTGGTAATTGGTAGGAATCTAAAATAAGTTTCTGAATCTCATAGAAGTTCTTTGGGGAAATATTCCAGAGAGGTAAATAGCGAAGATTCGCACCTTAAAGGTCGTGGTTAGGAATGCATGAATTCATGTTTGAAGCTGTTATGTCATGCATTATGTATGCATATATGTTGAGAACTAGAGAATGCCAATTTTTGACACAGAAACATACCATTTTCATGCGACTCCATATGAACTAACCATGCTGTTTACCCAATGAATGTTCATCATAAGATCTTTGTTTTGTTCCCGGAACAAGTGCTGCAGTTTGAGATGATGAAAATAGTTCATCGAACTCTTTTTAAAACTTAAATTTCCTATTGTGGTAGAAAACTTGTTGATGAAAAGATGCAGTAAAGAGGTAAAATCTTAGGCGTTGAAGGTGATTTAGAAGTTATGCTTAGAATGGATCCTCAGACTTTATTCTTGGAGGCAAAATCTTGGTTTCTGTTCAGATAAAGCATGGGATTTTATCTCCGTTTTCTTCTCTGAAAATTGCTCTAAATTGGAGGATTATTTTGGTGTTTGAGGTTTAGATATGCTGATTCTAATGGAAGCTAAGCGGGTTGACTGGAAACAAGGCTTACATTTTGTTCTCTATTACTATTATGTAGAGGAACAGGATAAAGTGTCGATATATGGCAGCTTATATTTGAACAGATTAGCATCGATCTAAATGACGAAAGCACAACTTTATGACTCTCGTTATCACCCAAACGCTGCTTTTTCTTTCTTTTTTGTTTCTCGGATTTGCTTATGCACCAAGTGTAAACCTTCCTAAATAACTTGAGTATTTCATGCATCTAAACTAAAGATTTTCGTAAATCTCAATCTTAGGACTCTCATTCTCACCTGAAAACCATGTTTTCTTTCATTTTTGTTTCTCTGATTTTCCGTTCCCCAAATTTATGTTCTGGGTTAAGGTTCATTCTCCATTGTTGAGATACAAGTGGTGTTTGCTTTTGTCTTCCAATACTGCATTACTGACTACTGAGTGGTCATTAGACTATTTAATTCAGATATCCATCGTTATACAGACTTGAAACTTTTTACATGGTAATTTATGTGCATGAACCATATTATCGTATTCCAATTAGAAGATTCATGTGTCCAGACTGACAATGTATGAATGCTACAATTCATATTGTATATATATAATAAAGACACATGGAATGCGGAAATTTGACCTTTTCATAGTTCCCCCCTGTCAATTTGTCTGTTCTTTCTAGATCATGAGAAAAGATGTTTTCTATTTACAATTGTCTGTTTGGCGTAATCTGGGTGAGGAGGGGAAATACTGAAATAGATACACATCCTTCACTATCATACTGATATGGACACTCGATACGTTTGGACCATATCTTGTAGCTATCAGCCGAAGGAGGATGATTCCTTAACATATATTACTCTTATAGTACGTGCAGCAGGTTGGTTACTGGTGGGCATGGGTTGTTGAGAAAGGCGGGCAAGTTCTGTGGTTGGACCATACGAAGATTCTCCAAAAGGGTCGGTGTTTGGGCTTACTATGCGGGCGAGATGTCAACTCAGATTCCGTTCTTCTCAGCATCTCCCACATCACCTGGACATCCTCGTACCCGCAAGTTTGTATGTCATCACGAAGCTTCAATAGGCCTGCACCTGGAGGAAAGACAAAAAACGCGGGGGAGAATCAGGTTAGTCGTCCCTCACACTCAATCCTATCATATCAATCGTGCTTTACACACAGTCACACACACACCAACACCACTTTCTTGTCACTCGGGAAACATATGGATTCTTTGTTCGTTTAGAAAACAAGATAGATTCGAATAATTGACCCTCGAGGAATCAGATGCTATCGGTGTGGCATATATCTGCACACGCTATTCCAATATTATTGTGCCTCGACTTTTCTGTGTTTATCCTTAGAGAAACACAGACCAGTGATTTGATTGGTAGCAACATAGTTTATTCCTCCATGAATTTCATGGAATCCTAGTAAACCTTGTTCAATTAAGGAACAGATAGTGGAATCTCTTTTCATTAAAATATGTCAAGTGCAGTGGAGGGAGGAATCAATACCTTAACTATCTTCAATTCTCTTTTTAACTTATTATTAGAAATAATATTCTTTTTTACCGTACTGTAAAAATTACCAGAAAAATAAAGAATTTTGGAGAGACTAAGACTATCATCAAACCCTATTTATCTTTCTTTTTGTTTTATTGGATTAATCCTAAGAGACCATTATGCTTTGAGGAATATGCTTCTATTTTGATGGGTCAATCTATACAATTTATATTCTATATGGATTTCTCTCAAATTTTGGAAAATTCTCCTCTTATCACTTTTTATTGTTTTTTTTGTATGTACTCAGAGTTTCTACCATCAAACACAGTGACTAATCTCTCGTTAAATTATACACACTTTTTTTGGATGGGAAAGTTGACCTGGAGATTTAAGACTGCTCTATATCCAAAACAACTAATGATTGAACCCTTGACCTTTGATTAAAGATGAATGAGTCTCTTCCAATCAACTACACCCACTCAGGGTAAAAACACTGAATTATGACTTTCAGATTAGGATGTCTATTGTATAAAAGGAATAATCTTCACAGTCTTAATCAAGTAGAAATTAAAATAGTAAAAACAAAAATTCAGTTCTTACCTACCAATTGTTGCACCGACACACAAAAAAAAAAAAAAAAAAAAAAAAAAAAAAAAAAACCTTCATCCCCAGGCACCCCAGACAGAAGATGTGTAGTTTTTATGGTACATGAATTAGAGGGTTAGAGATGAAATTTTAGGAGTTGGATGCAGCTACACTATATAAAGTATTTATTATATATTAATAGTACTCAGCTCGCAGAAAATCTTGTTCTGAAAAATTGTTGAGAGATTTTTATTTTGTTCCACTTGAAACAGTAATGGAAAAGATTTAAAAAATTTAAAGCTCCAATCGATCTGCGGCTGACAGATTGGATGAAAAGGATAAACTATATGAAGAAAGAGAGTAACCATGTTTGCGAGCTTTAACACGAGCAGAAACTGCAATCCAGACTTTCCTGACCGGAAAAACCATCTTCTGCCACCAATCATCCATGCCTTTAATCTTTGGTTTCTTCCTCCGATTCACGATTCCGGCCAGCTCTCTTCTCTCTGATATCTCTCTCTCTTCTGCTACCATCAACCGCTAGTGTAGAGACATGCACACACACACACCATGGACAGAAGAGAGGAAGAAGAAGAAGAAGAAAGAGATTGTTGTTGTTATGTTGAGAGATGATGAGGTGAGTGAGGCTTTGAGTGGGTGATTTCCTCTTGGCATCTGCTTCTTTGCACTTTGGTTGGTCGACTTGGATTTATATTTATTAGGAATCCATCTAATCACTCTATTCTACTCTCTATTTTATATATACATACATACATTAAATTTACACGTTTCAATGCGTTTCAAATATAAATTAGAGTTCTACTACATGTACTTTCAAATCTTACTTCTTGATGTGACGCGAAAAATACTATATGTACCTTTAATTTTTCCTCTCACATTTAAAATATTAATATAGACATTTTTACAGGAATCCACATGAAGAAAATAACATATCAGAACTCGTCACATCAGAGAGCAAATTTGAAAGAATAAGATTTGGAAATACATGTAGTAGAACCTTTTTCTTTAGGTGGACATTTGTAAATGTGACAGTAAAAATTGGGAGTAAAGAATCAGAGTACATATACTATCATCTAATATGAATAGTAGATATGACAAACAAAATGGAACATAAGGAGAATTGACGGTGTTAAAATTTTGGGATTTAAATTTAAAACAAAAAAGTTTGAAAGGAAGCTTTTTGGGGTGTGAAATAATTGCCGGACGCGTGGGACGGGTGAGCAGTAATGTATACAACTTTTATTTATTGTTTTTGTTTGACTTGATGAATATGAATACGTGTCATGTTTTGAGTAGGAAATCCATACGTCACCTTGTAACGGTAATCTTCTCCCAAGGGCGGTTTGACTGCTTAAACATTTCTTAACGTACATTTATTTTATTTTATTTTATTTTAGTGCGTTTAAATCAATTAAGAACCTAACTTTCTTTTTAAAAGTTAAATATTTATCGGTGTGCTTTTGTCATATTTTATGCAATTTTTTTATTTCCATTTTGTTTGTTTCCGTTAGTAAAAAAAAAAAAAAGATTATATGTGTATCTTGCCACTTAATTATAACATTTTGAGTAATTTCTTAACGAAGATGTGTAAAATAAAAAATAAAAAAAATTAAGGCCTCTTGAACAATATTTTGAATTTTAGTTTAATTTGTAAATAAAGTAGTAATTTTATGATAGTTTTTAATATAGAATTGTATCTATCAATATGATTAACTTTTAAATTATAATTAATTAAGAAATAAATGTCAAACACTTGGGATGGCATGATTAATTTATTGTCTCCACTAACTCATAATTACTTCTTTTTTTAAAAAAAAAAAAATAATAATACTATGTTATATACGTCCTTCTCAAAACGTTGAATCTCCAATGTCAAGGGCCTCCACATCCAGCCCAACAAAGCATTTGGGAAGAGAATATAAATCATGGTAACTCAGCTGAACACAGAGGTTAGAGCTTTGTTTATTGTGCACAACGACTCAAGGATCTCCCTCACTTTGAGAGGTTGCTCCCATACTGCCGCTAGTGAGACTCGATTCCTAGTCATTCTTCCTAAACTTCACCCATGCGACCAACTGAGCTGCCCATGCGAGCACTATGTTGATATACGTACCTTGAGGGGTGGGAGTGTAGGACTAATTCAATCGGGTTTCAGTTAAATTAGATCATTGACCACATACTTAAACAATTCTAGTCTATTCACTTAAGTCAACACCTTTTGATAGTTTATAACTATTTTTAAATTAAATATCAGAACATATAATTACTTTTTTTTTTTTTGTCGTGAAATTTCATTTTTGTTCCCTCTAATATGTTACATGTAAAAATGTAAATACCTTAAAGTTCTTATGTCTCTCCTTTATTTTTCAAAAAATAAAGTGAAAAAATATAGTAATATTTTAACATAGTCAATTGAAGAAAAATTTGAATTCAAAATTTGTAAATAAAATAACATAAATTGGGTTCAAATTTGTAATGATAATGTTTTTGTTTTTGTTTTTTTAGACGAGGGAAACCGGCAACAACTATTTGATGATGTGGCACATGGTAAATCACATTTTTGTATAATAGTCTATTAGGCGTCGACCGATCGGGTTGATCGACTTCAGCCCTGTTCAATTCGAAACGTGGTGTTGTGGCTTTCCGGAGGGATGTGATTAAATGATTAGTGTCCACCTACTTATCACCAATTGGTTTTAAGTATGATATGACAACCAGATAACTAAAGAACTTTGTTGTTAAGCCAAGTGTTTGACTTACAGTAGTCACGGGATGGGTCACAAATCAAACATGGAATGTAAATTGCACTAGAAAAACTAACTTTGTACGATGGACTCAATTATGAAATTATCTTTTAATTGTTACAAAAAATATTTAAAAAAAAAACTTAAGTGATCCTAACTTTGTCAGATTAATTCTAAGCTCACATGACCCTGCTTAGAGTCATTGCAATGGCAAATCACGAATTCCGCAATCAACTTACCAGTCAAATCTTAATAATATTTATGTTCGAACACCACTCTATCCCCTCCAATCATAACTTTTAAGTCATGCAACAAACTAACTATGCTAAAGCAAAAGATATAGTATAACTCCTTAATATAACAAGATATTTATAAGCTGATAGTTAGATTATATGCTTATGTTTTATATATCACATTTTTCAATTAGTTGTACAATTGCATATATGATAAAAACGTACTTTTCTTTATACTCCGTATAAGAAATATTTGCCTTGATCACGATTCCCCTTTCCGACCGACGCACGGTGGGAACACTTCTTGTCGGCTTTTGTTTCATGTGTGCATCATATCTCAATTTGTCTCGAAAAAAAAAAAAAAAGTAATATTAATGTTAGTGTTGATTGGTTCCTATTAATTATTTTCTTATTTGAACTAGTTTATTTGGTTGTAATTATAGGGTTGTCTTTTATCGCTGTATAATTCATTAATTCTTATATAAAAGCTTATTTGTGGAATTTGAAGTACAATTATTTAGCAAAAGCATGCATATATGCCTATAATTTTGAATGAAACGTACAGGCTGTGATGAGTGTCGGCAAGATCTTTATCCCACGTGGTTAATATATATGACGTACACTTTTGATTGTATTATTATTCTGAAAATCTGGATCCGTATATCTCATATCAAATCAGAAATTGTAGAATATTTTTTGTTTTTTTTTTTCCTTCATATTTATTGGATTGTGTGGTTTATAAAAGTCAAACCTTTGATCTTACTATTAGTTTGCATATTAATTGTGTAAAATTATTATGTTAAATTATAAAATATTTTAAATATAAGTGAAACGATACACTTATTTAAGGGGTGTATTCAATCATGACTTTTGTAGATTTTTAAAAACTTTTAAAATGATAGATTTTAATAAACTTTTATTGACTTTCATAGAGTCGTTCAAATTTTATAAAACTTTATAAGACTTTATAAAAATCTATATAAAAAAACATTCATAATCTTTTATAAACTTTTTTTATTTTAAAAAGTCTACAAAATTAAAGTCATTAAAATTCTAAATTGAATACATCCTTACAAACTTTCAATGATTTTGATTCTTATCATTTATAATTTTCTTACAAAACATGTTATAATATATCATAAAATTCTTCGTTCTTATTATATATAATATAGTTCTTCACCCACATCAACATTATTGTTTTTATCCATAGTAATATAGTATGGTGAGACTTATATGCTAATTGCATATATAGTTTTAATAAGCATAAAAAAAAAAAAAAAAAAAAAAAACTATTTCATAAGAAATTCATGACACTATTGAACACTAAAATTTATAGTCATAGAATTGTTCAAATAAAATATTTAAAAAAATTTAATTACAAGTTGCATAAAATTTTAAAAAAATTAAAAATTATAATATCAATAATATATATAAAAAATTATACTTGATATACGGCTAGGCATCAAATAAAGAGCTATTATTTGCAATAGCAATTTGAGACTGCAAACAATAACAATGTGCTACTGTTTGCAGCGCCAAATTGCTGTTGTGAACAGTAGTTCGCTATTCATAGTAGCTTGTGTGTGTGTGTGTGTGTGTGTGTGTGTGTGTATTATGAATATAAACATAAAACGAATACAAACCAAAATATACAAGTATTTATATGAATATAATGAAACATATAGTAAAATTTGACGGTGATAGATGAAAAAATTACTTTGTTCATGTATTTAGGGAGAAAAAGTTCTTAGAGAAAGTTTAGAAGTTAGGGAAAAAAGTTCGTAGAGAAAGTTTAGAAGTTATGTATAAAAAGTTTGTAGAAAAAAAAAAACAAAATATACAAGTAATAATGAAGTAAAAATAATATTATTTCAAATTTTTAGAGGAAGATTGTAAATTTTAGGAGAGAGAAAACGTTTGTAGAGTTTAGGTATGAAGAAAATATACGATAATGAAGAAAAAAGAATTTATTGAATTTAGGTATGGTTTATAAAGTTCAAATAGGGAGAAAAAAATAGAGTTTAAATAGAGAGAGAAAACCTTCACAGGGCGTTTGGTTGGAGGGATTTTAAATTCCCTTCCCACTTAATTCCCACCTAATTCCAAAGGCCATTAAATTTCGTAGTTTGGTTGGAGGGAATTGCAATTCCCTCATTTTCATGGAATTAAAATCCCATGTCCCCCCCCCCCCCCCCCCCCCCCTGGTATTTTAATTCCTGGGATTTTAGGAAGAAAAAAAATACTGATGAGACAAAATTACCCTTCTCTTTTTAACCTAAAATGAATGTCTAATCTTTCCTTTTAACAACAATAATGGGCATTTTGGACTTTATACTACTTATTCCCTTTCAATTTCCATGTATACCAAACATTGGAATTGAAACTCTCAGTAATTCTATTCCTATCAACCAAACACTGGAATTTAAATTCCCACTTTATTCCCAGTAATTCAACTCCCATAGAATTACAATTCCTTTCCCACATAATTCCCCCCTTCCAACCAAACGCCCTGTCAGAGTTGGTAGAAATAAAATTTTGAAATCTTGGCGTTGAGGGTTGGATTTCAACTATTTATATTTGAGAAGAAAAAGTCTACAAAAGTTCTAAAATTAAAAAGTCTTCACAAATTCATAACTTTTTGAATACCACATGACTTTTAAAGACTCTTTAAAAGTCTTAATCGATCGAATACCACCCGACTTTTAAAGACTCTTCAAAAATCTTGATTGAATACCGTCTGACTTTTAAAGACTCCCTAAAAATTTGAATTGAATACTTCCAAAATTTTAAAGTTCATAAAAGTCTTTAAAAGTTTATTCAACACCTTCTTCAGAAGGTGTGACTGTATATCTTGCCTCAAAAGGGCCCCCGGGAGGCCAGTCGAAGGCCCCTGTAGAGGAATAGCTTTATCCCAGCGAATAGAAGATGCTCAGCTCCGCAAAACATAGGGATTAGCACACTTTTGGGAAGAACATAGAATAGTAGAAGATCCAGCATGCAGAACATGACGATCATTAGAAATTCCATACTTGCAAACCCCTAGGATGAGATGTAGGCCCCTTGTTTTTGGCAGGAAGAGTTCCAACCTTTGTTGCCCCTCAGTAGGGTGAGTCTACTTAGTTGGCCGAAGTGACAATAGTCACATTGAACCCTCGAATATGTTCGAAGATCTTGAAATGATCTTCCAGTTCTTGGGAGAATTCAGCAAAACTCAGTTCTCTTTGACTAGAGGAGAATGAATTCATGTCTAAAGCATGTCTCTGGGAGAAAGTCCCGGTACTCATTCCTTGAAATGAGGGAGAATAAGGTGTGTAGCCGCTGTTATGTTAGGAAACCCCCTAAATAAAGAAGTTTTAAGATATTGTAAAGAAGTTTTAAGATATTGTAAAGTGTTGTGTTACGTTTTAAATTTTTAATAAAGAAAAACTTACTACTTGAGCATGTTGTACGTACGTGCATGTTACTCCTATTTAGTTGTCAAATTAAAAGTTAAATGTGACAAATTAATATTAGTTGTTCTTGACTTATGTTAAAATTAGTTTAATAAATGAGTCGCGTTTGATCGAGAAAAGTCATTCAACTGTGCTCATTTTGCATCCCGCGCATGAGATAGAGTCTTTACACTATCTTATTCAAACTTTTAAAAAAGTGAAATTGTATATATACTAGTATAAACCCATATCCATTTTTAATGTGAGACAAATGCTACTTAAAAGTCTTCTCAACTCAAATATGTACACTTTGAGAATCAATTTCTCAATTACTCGGTATTCATTTTGAGTGTATAATATATTAAACTAAACACCTTACTTAACCCAAATTCACTTTAACCCAATACAAATTAGAAGCGGACCTCATCCACTGAAAATTATACCACAACATAATCACTTTAAATGTCAATTTAAGTCAATTTTTCCAACATATAAGATAATATATTATTACATAATTATTGACGTTGTAAATTTGTTCAATGCAAAATAAATAATCATAAACCGTAAAAGCAATACAACAAAACTAATACTATATAAATCTATAATATATAAGGAGTATACATACACACACAAACACACATATACTTGAACCCATGACAAGTATTATTTTTCTCTACTCGATCCCATTCAAAACCTAATTAGTCACTACTCGATAACGTGTCTTATTAAAATTCAGGAGAGTTGAGTATCCTAAAATGCCTAACCTAACCCATTATATTATATTGCTCTTGAGTCCATTAGCTAGGGTAAAATTCAAATATATATATTAAGTTGAGACGCTCTTGATGTTAGTTGCTAGTTGAAGTCACTCTCATAAAATAAAAATTTGTATAAGAATAATATTATATTCCAACATGGGCTGCTTCAATCTGAAAAGGAGTGGTTATCAGAAAGTGAGAGGCGGGAGAAGGAACAAAGTTAGTTGGTTTGGAAGCAAACAGTTAACCAATAGCATGATGACAGTTGAAAGCTAAGGATCAAAGTATACTATAGTGTAGATATTTGTATTTGGCTATTTGCATTACACGTTTCTTGTTTACTTGTGGTTTAAATTATTTTTATTTTTAAACTTTAAAAAAATCAATTCATCATGATCATTTCATGCTTAATTTATCAAACTCCAATTTTAAGATCATTATATGGCCAGCTGTTTGACTTGATTAAATAACCAATATAATTATTTGATTAATTAGCCTGTTGTAACAACTTATTGTTTCAAAACGCTAAAATTCAAAGTAACTTTTTTTGATTAATTTTGTGAGAAAGTCATTTTACATGTAATCAGCTATCAACTAACAGTCAATTTACCAAACATCTTTCTACAATCAGTTAATGCATGCTATCGACTAATTAAACTCACTAACCTAATCAACTAATAGCTATCAGCTAACAACTATTTACCAAATATCCCAATATTTGGAACGGGTAACCGACATCATTTGCTGATAGCAAGGAATGAAAACTTTTAATTTGTCTACTCAAATATATATAATGGAAGCAAAGCAAGGTGGACAAGAAGGTTGATCCCACCACCACTGCCCACTTTCTAAAAACAAAACGGAAAACTACAAACGACAAATATAAAAAAAAAAAGGGGAAACATTCCAATTAAGTATGGTGTAGTATCAAGAAAGAATCTGTGTTCATGTTTCGTCAACTTCAACTATCAACTCTTGCTGGCCACACAATATAATGTCTCTTAGCTTTTAGCTTTTCTTCTCTAGACTAGAAACTTAACCTTTCAATTTGTACTTGAGTAATTAATTATGAATTTGAGAAAATAAAATATTCATATCACACTTAATTACGTGAAAACTCTCTTTTTTGGTGCTATTAATAATTGATTAAGAAAACAGTAAATGTCTTTGCAATCGGTTGATGACACGTACTGATCTTATGTAACGCTTGCATCGTGCCTAGTAATAACACACTTATAGTATACTAATTCTCTAATTGACATGCCGTTGTACATATGTTTTTTTTTTTAAATCAAAATATCTATTTTCATCTTCCGAATGACAAAAATAACATTTTAGAAGGTTACACTTTAGTGCTTAAAATATAACTAAAGAACAAAAACAATTACTTTGTTAATTAATTAAGAAACATTTGTAATGATATGTTAATTAAGAATTAAAGCTACACTTACCTTATTAGTTAATGGCTAAAATTATAATTTTTACAAGATAGAATGTAAGTTGATGTTGTATGTGATTGATTGTTGGTTTGATTATAAACATGAAAGTTTGTTTTGTGTGGGCTTGATTACTTTAATGCTTAAATGTTTTATTGTACAGAGAGATTATGGATATAAATTGATGGTCAAGGGTCTTAGGAGTAAATTATTTTGTGGATCATAACAAAAAATACATTTTTAATATATTAAAAGTAATGTAAGGTTCTTGCTACGGACGTTGGCGATGTTGTTGTATGTCATGTTCGAAGGTCAGCGAATCACGTTGCTCACTAGCTAGCGAGGGCGATTGTTTCATCCTCTGTCCTTGGTGTGTGGGACATTATCCCACCAAGTTGCATTTCAGGTTTGTTATGATGAATGAAGTTGTTTGGTTTTTCAAAAAAAAAAAAAAAAAAAAAAAAAAAAACATTATTTATGTACTGAATGTATATTATACAAAATAATATATTTTTTTAAATACAATGCACATTTTTAATATACTAAAAGTACATTTTTTATGTACTGAATATACATTATTTAATAGTATGGTCCATACAATTGTCTAGGCCATAACGCACACAATAATGCTTGGCCATACAAATTAAATACTGGATTTTATTTTGATTTGGTTTTATGTTCTCCCCCTTTACAAATTCTTCATCAATATCATTGTGTCTTGCATCATATCAAAATCAACCCATTGTTCACTTATGCCATTAAATATACTAATAATAGTGGTCATACTGGTGACCCACATAGTGACTTCATTACCTTTTTCATGTCAATGTTTTTATTTTTTATTTTTATTGCATTTTCATCCCTGAATTATTCCCTTTTAAAATTTTGGTTCTTATTTGTCAATTTAACAAATGAAAATTTGGTAATTCAATTATTCATCACAATATTTCACATTTAGTTCCCTTATTAAATAATTCACTAATTGAGGGGCTAAATGTGATATTGTAGATAATTGAGGGTCTAAATTTGTTTAAATTGATAGATACTAACCAAATTGTCAAAAGAGAAACAATTTAGCGATCAAAATACGTTTGTCTTTCGTTTTTTCACTTTTTCCATTTTGTATATATCTCAAATTGTCAAAAGAGAAACAATTCAAGTTCCATTGTTTGGTAAATAGGAATAAAATTGCTGGGAATTGAAAGGAAAAAAGTTAGTAAAGACTAAAATACCCTTATATTATTGTATAATACTCCGTAATAATGATAATAATAATAAAATGGCAAAACCATAATTTACTGTAGAATTGCAATTCCGCAAGCTGTGGAAGTGCAATTCCTAACGAGACCTTAGGAATTACAATTCCCTTCAACCAAACACCCCAATACTGCTTTTGAATTTTGAGATATGAAAAGGCTTAGCCAACCAACCCAAAAAACACCAACTCAAACTACAGTAATAAAGTATACACTTCTACACTATTCAAAGTTCAAACTTAAGTGCAGAAGAAATCAAGTTTAATTATGAACAATTAATTAGATCTTGAATGGGAAAGCTTTAATAAATCTAATTTGGCATGATGTCAAATAATGACCATTTATTTCTCTTAATTGATTGACTACTTCACCATTTTTTATTATATTGTTGGGAAAATGACACTTTTTCCCCCTAAGTTATATCATTATAGCACTTTTTCCCCCTCAATTATTTATGTAAGCACATTAGCCCCCTCAATTATTTTAAAAGTGGTGGTTTTTCCCCCTGATATATTAAATTGACATTTCTACCCTTAAAGTAAACATTTTATTTATTTTACTTCTCCAACAAATCATTGCGTATATGTAGCAATGACCACGGTTCGGTTCATACTGAACCGGACACTATAACAATCGAATTAAAAGTTTTCGGTTATGATTCAGATCTAGAACCAAATATTTGAATTTCAATTTATTAAATTTATGAATAAAAAAAACTGGATCCTGAATCGTGAACCGACGGTTCCAGATCCGGTTCGCGATTTTGAACCGTTTTTATTTTAAAATTTTATTTTTTATTTTAAAATAGTCTAAATTCAATAATAAATGTATTTTATTTTTTCAGTTCGGAACATGAACCGGCCATTCCGATTCGCGATTTTAATAAACTCTAAATATCGTGTTTTGATTCTAAATTGTAATTGGAATATTTTGGTTTGGTTGCTATAGTATTTGTTTGGTTTGAACCAAATTATAGTAATAATTTGTTGGAGAAGAAAAATAAATGAAATATTTATTTTAAATATTTAGTTTAAGGGTAAATATGTCCATTTAACATTTCAGGGGGGAAAAGAGCCACTTAAATAATTGAGGGGGAAAAAATGCTATAAGTATACAACTCAGGGGTAAAAAGCGCCACTTTCCCTATATTGTTTAAATATGAAATAAAGACATTACTATGAATACATTTGATGTTTTGTTCGGACATTGGTATCATAATAAAAAAAAATACAATTAATCAAATATCTAGTGATTAATTGAGTGTTTAATAAAAATAGTGTGATTATTTAGTAGTAAACTAGAATTATGAGAGAAAATATGGCATTTATATGCGGTGTAGAGGATGATACAAACAAAAGTAGCATAAGAAGAAATTATGTGGCAATGACTTATTCGAAGAGGATTTTATTCCCATTGTTTACTTTTAAAATTTTGAAAACAACACCATATAGGCACATAACCATCATGACTTTTGATTTTGATAGAAACTTCCAAAAATATAGTGAACCAAACAACCTCATAATGTGTTAGCGAACCCAAACACTATGGTTATATCGAAGTGGAGATTTTAACTTAATAGATCACTCTATAATTAATGTGTAACGAATCATCCATGATTACTTTAAATTGTATGAATATTTGATCTTATGTGCCATTCGTTTTCTCTCTAGGACGTGAAATCTTCTGGTTATATCGTTCTGATTGAAGATATATGACAAAAATTAGTGAATTTTAGAAATAAAATGTAGATGAGACTCAAAATGTTTTTCAAAAAGGAAAAAAGAAAGAAAAGCAATCATAGCTCAAAAAGTAGCCAAAAGGAAACAAAACGAGTATGATCTATAAAGTCTTAAAAAAATAAAAATAAAATAAAAAAGAAATTAGGAGTGGAAAGAAAATGTATTAATGAATTATTACCAAGTATGAAGTAAATGAATTTTAAATGCATTTAAAAATCGCCACAAAAAAAATTAAAAAAAAATAGTAATTTTATTCACTCTTTCTAAAAATGTTCTCTTAATTTCACATTCTGACATGACATTATCTAATTGGATACTTTAGTATTTGATTACAAATAGGTGTCAATTTATGAGCAGCCAATTAATATAAGCCATATCAAAAGAAAACATACTTTAGAGAGTAAAAATAAACATTTTCTAAAACATATATATATATATATATATATATATATATATATATATATATTAAACCCTACAAAAGCTCATTTATTTGTGGAACCCATCCATTTACTATCATAGACCTAAATTTTGACACTCCACCATGCACTAAATTTGGACCAAACATTGATAACTTTTAGTACCGATAAGCTAAGTTTTGTATTGTGTTTTAAAATAATTTTTTAACCCAATATTTTGGAATGGGAAAATGAGATTTTTTCTCAGAGTTATATGTTTATAGTATTTTTTTGCCTGAATTATTCATGCATTCATATTTGTCCCCTCAATTATTATAAAAGTGATATTTTTTCCCCTAATATATTAAATGAACATTTCTACCTTTAAAATAATATTTTATTTATTTTTCTTCTTCAACAAATTATTGTTTATACGTAGGGATGATCACGGTTCGGTTCGAACTGAACCGGACACTATAGCAATCAAATCAAAATTTTTTGATTATGATTCAGAACCAGAACCCAATATTTGGGTTTCCATTTATTAAAATCGTGAACTGAAAAAAAAAAATGAATCCTGAACTGTGAAACGGAGGTTCAAATTGGAACAATTACTAGCATTAACTTAAAATTAGAATTATAATATTTGCAAATAGTGTATGTTCTTTTTCGCATTTATTCTGATTTTCACATATAAGTATATATAATCACAATTTGATTTTAATTTTAAACCGTCGGTTCACAATTTCGGATCCAATTTGAACTGCTAGTTCAAGCTTTCTTTTAAATTTTGGGTGTAGTGTCAAATAGCACCATGAACCAATATCGAAATGTCATGCCGCACCCTGACCTTTCATAAGTGCTGATTCGATGCACAAACTATTTTTTTTTTCCATCTAGAACTTTTCATAAGTTACCCGGTAAACCTGATGACATGGAACCAGTAATATATGATGTGGCATTATTAATTTTAATTAAAAATAAATGATAGAGTCCAGCATTTTAATTTTTTTCTAAAAAAAAAAAAAAAATTGACAGCACCACCGTGACCTTCGCCTCTCTCATCACTTTTGCTCTCTTTCTCTCTCCTGTGTTCCCTTTCGGCGAAGCAAGCAGCCAAGCAGGCATCGATGATGGCCAACTCCCCTCCCTTCTCATGTTTTTCTCTTCATCTTCGCCTCCTCTTCCTCGTTAATGGCAGCACGGTGCTATCAGCAAGCAGATCGGCGACTTCTTGCTTCCTCTAGTCCAGCGTGAACAGATCCGGCAATAGCAGTGTGGCAATTTCGGTTCGCGATTTTAATTAACTCTAAATATCGAGTTCCAGTTCTAAATTGTCATCATAACATTTCTGTTTAGTTGCTATAGTGTCTGCTCCGTTTGAACCAAATCGTAGTTATAATTTGTTGGAGAAGAAAAATAAATGAAATTGTTTTAGTGGTCAATCTTACAAGGAAACCAGGTATAATGATTGATCAACTATGTCAATAAACTGTTTTATCAAACACTAATTTTAATTATTTGTCAGGATCAAACAATTAAAATTTATCAAATAATCAAATCAATTAAAAGATGACAGGTGGTCAACCATTTTCAAACACAACTAAATCTCATCAAATTAACCTAGCTCGATCATCATTCGTACTAATCCAACTCTCATTGATTAATGATTAGTGAATGCCAATATAGAAACCATAAAATGCATGCTTCTTTAGGTTTTAAATGATTATTGATGATGAGCTATCTCTTCTTTTAAATGATTGCCCATTCAGACTATCAGTTGATTTGCATGAGGCTGGAGAATTTTTTCCCGAATTATTCTTATATTAGCTGTGTTTTTTGCGATTACCTTATTCTTAAATGACATTTAGTTGATTTGTTGTTCCATTTTATCTCTAGATCAACGAATACATTGACACACGCTTTAGTTAGAACTACGGCGTCTCAATCTGGTCCTCGTACTTGGTTTTTTTCTTATCTTGCTTGTATTGAACATTTAACCTAATTAATATATTCACTTTTTTGGCCTTCAAAAAAAACAAACAAACGAATATGGGCTAGACTAATTATGGCAGCTCCATTTGAGACATAGGGCGTGGTTTTGGGCTATACTTGTTAAAATTGCCATAAACCACCCATGAGGAGTACTTTCAGTTCATTTGTTGCATTAAAATTTAAAAGTTTAGAATAATTTTACCTATAAAATTTTAATTTCAATAATATAAAGGTCCTGTTTGATAAATGACTGTTAGCTGATAATTGTTAGTTGTTAGCTAATTGAGTTAATTAGAAGATATAACCAATTGATAACATTAGCTGATTGTAAAAAGGTGTTTGGTAAATTAGATGTTAGCTGTTTGGTATAATTTCTTTTCTCAAAAAGCTAACTGAAAAAGTTGTTTTGAATAGCTTTCTGAATTTTAGCATTTTGGAGTTACAAAAAGCTAATTAACCAAATACTTATATTGATTTTTTAATCAAATCAAATAACTAATAGTGGTCAAATAAGCCAAAATTGGCCTATATACCAACTATTTTACCAAACAGGGCCAAAGTTACATTCAAACTTGCATAGAAAAGGACAACAATAACACTCGCAATAGAAGAACCACAATAGTGGTATTTGCTCAGTTTTTGAAGACAACATAGCTTATGTGGGGGGAAAGGGATATGAGAGAGAAGATTTGGGGGCTGCCTGCAAGAGATTAGTTTTTTGTGGATCCCGAAAGAGAGAGAGAAAGTAGAGAAAAGAGGCGCAGTGCTGCACGTTTTGCGCACATACAAAGCCAGGGGCCACACCAGCTGGCGCGTTAATTGGTTTGTTTTTTTTTTTTTCTTTTTACATCAAACTTGCTTTTTATTTTTTATTTTTCCTCTTTCTCTTTCTTCTCTCTCCCTACTCTCTCTCCTAATTAACACCTCAAAAACTACAAAAAAAAAAAAAAAAAAAAATTACTCCTATTGAGGTTGCCTTTAGAATCTAAAACTTTTCAAATAAGTAAAAGATTTTTTTTAGAAGAGTAAGCAAATTGCCAACTCATGCCAAAAACTTGTTTATGTGTATCATAAATAAACAAGTTTGAGCATCATTTTAAAGTTCATTTGATAAACAAACTGAACTTAAAGATACATTGCATAACTCATTTATGGTCACAACATACAAACATCCTCACCTTGCATAACTCATTTATGGTCACAACATATATACAAACATCCTCTTTTAAATGTTAGCAAATGAGTTTAGGATTTCCATTATCATCCCTAGCTAATAGTCTTTTTATATAGAGAATCAGGTTAACCCTTATCTCTAAGTAGGACAAACATTCTCCACCTAAAAGAGCATCCTCAATAGGCATAGATTTTGAGGAGTTTTTACATGTGTGACTAGGAAAAAGAAGATGAGGAAAGAAAAAAAGGAAGGAAAAAAAAAAAAAGCAAAACAAATTTTTTTTTTAAAAAAAAAAAAAGAAAGAAAGAAAAGTGTCAGATTAACGCAGCCAGCTGGGCGCTCCTAGTGCGCAAAACACGCACCAGGGAGAATGTCCACTTATTTGGTAGGGACCACATATCTAACAAAAAACGAAATCTAAACAAAGATAAAAAAAAAAAAAAAAAAAAAAAAAAAAAAAAAAAAAAAAAAAAAAAAACTAAAAACTCTTTCTTCTACATAAGATTATCACATGCAAAAACCTCCCTAAATACTACTATTGTGGTTGCCCTAGGTAAGACATACATTTCCTGCAATGGTTAGAGATAAGGTTTGTCCCCCCTCTACTAACTACTGTCAATGCATATTTCTATTGTCATTCTCTACATCTAATTTATGTTGAATGCATAGGCTTTAATATTGTATACATAAATACTTATATCTAAATGTCACAACCTCAAACATACGAGTGTTCAAGTTAAAATAGATTTAGTGACTCAAAATATGTCTTATTGGAGCAATTATATATATGAAACAATAGATTAATCTTAAGGGATAGTTTTAATCAATGTATAGTAGTTAGCATGAAATGACAACCTTAAATCTACAAGTTCTACTATGTATACACCTAAATTCTACAAACTCACTTTTACTTCTTGATGTGACAAATAATGATAGCCTATTTTCATCATGTGAGTCCCCAGAAAAGTGTTCACATAAAAAATTTCAGAGGAGTAAAAGTTGGTAGTAGAAAATGAGAGTACACATAGGGTGTGTTTAGTTCGCACAAGAGAATCCGAATCGGAATGAAAATCAAATAATTGGTAATGGTAATAGGTTTTAGTAAAAGTATTTTGCATGTTTGGTACTAGGGTGGAATTGAAATTATTACCAATATTGATATTTGGTTATATATGACCCTATAATGGGAATAAAAGTTTTTAAAATACAAAAATAAAAAATTAAAGCAATTGATACTTAATATAATGACATCAAAAGTATCAATATAAAAAAAAATCAAAATAAAAATCTAAAAACAGTAATCCAAACTTAAAATCTCTATTTAACTCACTTTAACTTCCTGATGTGGCAAATAATGATAGGTTATTTTCATCATGTGTGTCCCCAGAAAAGTGTTCACATCAAGAATTTCGGACTAGGGGTAGAAGTTGAGAGTATACATTGGGTGTGTTTGGTTCGCACAAGAGAATCGGAATCTGAATGGAATCAAATATTTGGTAATGATAATGAGTTTTGGTAAAAATATTTTACATGTTTGGTAGTAGGGTGGAATTGAAATGATTACCAATATTGATATTTAGTTATATATGACACTCTATAACGAGAATAAAGGTTTTTAAAAATACAAAAATAAAAAATTAAGGCAATTGATCCTAATATTATGACATCCAACATTATCCAAACTTAAAAAAAAAAAAAAAAAAAAAAAAAAAAAAAAAAAAAAAAAAAGTCATAACAAAAATCTAAAAAGCACTAATCCAAACTTAAAAATCATATTATCAATGAGATGAAATGATACCGTTTTTAATTAGAGAATGTGATTTCTAATTGAAGAGTTAATCAAATTCCTTAACTGTGTTTTAAAAAATTATCAACTAAACACTTACTATTCTTTTGATTTGTAAACCCATGAATCAAACAACCCATAGAATTTTCCTAAATCTACTAACAAATAGATTTAGATTACTGAGTTAGAATCAGGCAAGTAGGAAATCAGCCACCTGAAGAAAGGGCAAAACATAAAAACAAACCCCTGACAAATACTCCATTTGGCAAAAAAACAGAACACAAGAGATATAGGACAGACTCTAATCCAAACTCAAGAACAAGTTCAGCAAACTTGGAATCTGATATATATCCATTTTCATTGAAAAGAGCAGATGATATATATGCCATTACATGACACTACCTTCTTAAATTTGGTTGTCTTTCATATGCAGAAAAAGGGGAATCAATCCTTAAACATACACACAAAAAAAAAAAAAAAAAAAAAAGTACAAGGCAAACAAAGTGCAGAGAATGATGACAAGAAACATTGCCAAGAAGTATGTAACAGATAACCACAGTGCCATAAAGAAACATTCTCAAGACGTATGCAATAGAGAGCCCCTTGATCATCAAACAAATTCGATACGAGTTTTAGAACAAATTCATAACATAGCTCAGACCCTTGACAGCTGACTACAAACTGACACTAATATCAAAGGATTATCATAGGAGGAGTGACCTTTTTAGAGTTATGGATTGAGAAAGCTAAACTGGGAATCACTGGCAGCCACCATGAGTTGCAGTCCATTTCGCTCCACACGCATAGCAAAACTCCGAGCCACACCTGAATTAACCATTCAAAGATTAGGGGAAAACACATAATCAATGGTAACTACTAAACCTTCAAATTCCTAAGAACAGAACAAGAAAATGTTTTAAATTATCAGAAATGAAGTGACCTGCAAGACATATGTAAGCAGCCCTGAGTCTTTTCCACATAGAATCTGCAAAAAGGGCATCTTCTCCAGTTCTTCTCTTTAGCAAGTTCTCTCACCATGAGATCCTCTCTCCCTCTTTCATCCTCATTCAGCCTCTGAAACTCCTCACACCCCACCCCAGAGTGCCACGGCACATGGCACACAGCACAGAACAATCTATGGCAGAAAGGGCACTCCGACTCGGTAATTATCATTCCACCGCCGCCGTCGTTCACCATCATCGCCGAACAGTCTCTGTAAGGGCAGTAGAATTTCTCCGACGCCGGAATTAGGGATTCGCATAAAACCTCGTCCCACCTAGTTAACACATCGCTAGGAACAATCGCCTTGCAGGAATCAAATTCAAGAAAACTCCTGCAATTCAGGCCTGGACAGGTGACGACGTGAATGCTGTCTTGAATCTTCGTCGCCACGTGCTTGCTAATGCAAGATGTGCAGAAGACATGGCTGCAGCTCTCCAGCCTGAACATCTCCTCGCTCTCTTTCCTCTCCGCGCAAATCTCGCAGAACAGTTGCGAAGATTCGCCCTTTTCTCCTCCTCCTCCCTCCACAACCTCCATGGCTCCCGTCGACATTCTCTCGACCTCCATGATCACCAACGGCGGCTCCGGCGTGACGGCGTTGGGGTTGGCGATCAAGGAAGACAGTATAGTCTCCTGGAACTGCAACTCTTCGGCGTACTTATCGTCGGAAATTGGAGGAGAATCGTGATCGCTAACACTCTCGTCATCCAACATCAGCGAAAAGTAATAATCGTCGCAAGAGAGATCAAGCGTCGCTGCTGATTCTTGGACTGCCACAGATGCCATGTTATTGAAAGCTGCAGTTCTTCACTAAAATGGAGGAATTAATAAAACCCTGATTGCGATACACAGAAAATGGGACCACAAGTCCCTAGCTTTATGGGTAGCTTGATTGCCAAGGACTCGGCTCTCATTGGAACGTGGAAGTCCGAAGTCTTTGCGAGTCTCCCATTTTTTGAGCTCTTTCATTTCCACGTTCTACAAATAAAAACCCCTTCGTCTCCCAAAATGTTAAATTTCCAACTTGAACACCTCAAACCCTGGCCCACCCGGACACCTCAGACCCTGGCACGGTCACATCATGGCCCGACATAGCTTATTTTGGAGTTTATAGCTTATTTTAAGCTACTAATAAACTATAAGCTCTGTTTGGTAATGTTCCCAAAATAAGCTTCTAGCTTAAAATAAAAGTTTATTTTGAAACGCGTTTTTCAAAATAAGCTCCTAGCTTTCTAATTTTTTTTCATCTTTATCCTTATTATTTTAAAGAAATGACATAATTTACCCTTCCCAATTAAAACCATTTTCTCTTCTCCTTTATCCGCAACTTTCACTGCAATTATTATTATTATTATTATTATTATTATTATTATATGAGATTTGCAACAATATTGCTACTTCATTATGAGATGTTAGATCATGATTATGCTAATAGTTTTATATCAAAATGTTAATTTTTTTTAAAAACAAAATATTAAATTTTAATATGTAAACAAACTAATTTAAATTTTATGAAGATGTCATTTTTAATCTTTTTACATTTATCAGCTTATCAAAAAGCTAATTTTACCAAACACTTTCAATCATAACAGCTCTTCAGTTTTTAGCTTCGAGCTTATAGCTTTTCAGCATCCAGCTCCTAGCTTATAGCTTTTCAGCTAGGTTTGCCAAACAGAGCCATTCAAAAAGATATAAATCATGATGACTCAATGACTCAGCATACATAACCAAATATCGATGCGCACAAGAGATCTGTCCACTTTAAGCATAATCCTCATTGAATTAAAACCCCTTCTCAATAGAAGAAATGACTAACAAAATGTGTATCAAGTGTCTTATAGGTCTCATTTTTGAATTGCCAATAAAACAAAATTATCAATTCATTTGCAACATAAATCCATTTTCAATGATAGAATTCATTCGGTTTAAAATAAGTTTGAGATTTATATTTTGTGACAAATTTAATTAAATCTTTTAAATTTGGTATCATATTTGAAATATTGGTACAATTTTAACAAAATCTTTTAAATTTGGTATCGTATTCGAAATATTGGAACAATTTTAACAAAATCTTTCAAATTTGTAAAGTTTATATAAAATTTGGAACATTGGTTACTTTTGATAATTTTAGCTACTTATGTTACTCAATTTAAAATAAAAATTTTAAAAATATCAAATTCAAATTCAACCTCAACCTCAACCTCAAATCCTTAACTTCTTCTCCCAACCTCAAATCCTTAACTTGGCGTGTGTATTAGTAGAACTACTAAAGTGGGCCAACGTGGAGGAGCCCACCAAAGATACCATGGCAAATTATGTTGTGGACATTGTGGGCATGAGTTTAAAACGATGTCGTTTTCTCGGCATTTTAGTTAAAAAAATTGATTTTGTCTCGTCGTTAACGGCGTTATTCGTTTGTGAAATTATGAATGTACAATTATGACATTATGAACACAGAGCTCTGACATTATGAACTTATAATTATGAACATATAGCTCTAAAATTATGAACATAGAGCTCTAAAATTGTGAACATAGAGCTTCGAAAATTATGAATGTACAGTTACGAAATTATGAATGTACAGTTATGGAATTATGAACGCAAAGCTTTGACATTATGAACTTACAATTATGAACATATAGTGATAAAATTATGAACATAGAGCTCAAAAATTGTGAACATAGAGTTTCGAAAATTATGAATTTACAGTTATGAAATTATGAATGTACAGTTATGGAATTATGAACACAGAGCTCTGACATTATGAACTTACAATTATGAACATATAGTGATAAAATTATGAACATATGCTCCTATAACAAAGCGGTCTGAAATTAAAAAAAAAAAAATGGTGAAAGATAACGGTGCCACTAACGGTACCGTTACCGTGTCCACAATGTATGATGGACACGGGTCCATAGCATAACGATTGAGATACCATGGTCAAATATTTATTTTACATCGTGGATCCTAGTTCAAAATAACTTTTGATTATGGGTCTGCAGTTTATATATTTTGTACTTACTGTTAATAGTTTATTTGCCTGTAAATAAATTGAATGCACATATCATGTTAACTACAGACACATAAAATGGTAATTACAGATACATGAATGATAACTGTATGTATTTAATATGTTAACTGCAGACACATAATATGTTACAAAACGATATTCATATTATGTGTTTGTAGTTAATATATTTTGGCATTTTGCACATTCAGTTAATAAATTATGTGTCTACTGCAATTAACATAATATTTGTTTGTACTTAATATATTATATGTTTATAGGTATATAATCTGTTAACTACATATACATAATATGTTAACTGCAGACACATAATTTGAATGTCATTTTGGACCAAGGTCCACAATGAAGATGGACCATAATCCATGGTATAATTTGTCCTTTTTAAGCCACTCCTAATTAATTCAATGAGGGTGTGTTTGGTTCAAAAAATTTCATATTACTTTTGATTATGTTAGATTACCTTGAAATATTTTCAAAAAAGTATGCAATGTTTGTTTGCTTGAGATTCCAATAATATATTGTTGAAAGTTTGGTTGATAAGTATCCTTTATTCCAATATAAGTATTTTATTTTAATACCTTCAACCATTTAAACTAGTACATATTCTCAAAGTAGACAATGTTTGTTTGGTTGAGATCCCAGTAATATATTATTGAAAGTTTGGTTGATAAGTAATTTTTTTTTTTATATTCCAATTTAAGTATTTTACTTTAATACATTCAACCAGTTAAGTTAGACCCTAAACTATTGTTCATTGACATGCTTCAATTAATATTTTGATATTGACTGAACATTATATTTGCAATTTATAAGAAATTTTTATTTTAAGAATTCATGAGAAAATTTTCTATTTATTGGGCCTCTTTGCATTTAAAAGATTTCTAATAAATTGTTTCATAAAAAAAATATTTGAATACATTTTTAAACTCATTTTATAACACAATCATTACATATTAAATAATATGAAATAAATAAATAATATTTTTAAAATCAAAGTTCAATTAGTTGGTGTTGTATATAAAGAAACATATATGGGTTAAAGGGTAAAATAAGGAAATATACTTGTTAATATCATATTAACTAAGAGTCGGTTTGAAAACATAAAAAAATATTTTTTGGAAAATCATTTCTAGAAAAATGATTCATTTTTTAAAAATATTTTAAGTTTTTAGTGTTTGGTTAAAGGTTAGAAAACTACATGATATCTTTTTTTTTTTTTTTTTGACTAAAAGTTAAAAAATTATATATTTTATTATTCGATTCATTTTCCTAAAATGAACAGAGTATTTGTAATAATAATAATAATAATAATAATAATAATAATAATAATAATAATAATAATAATAATAATAATAATAATAATAATAATAATAATAATAATAATAATAATAATAAGTGGTGGTGGTGGTTGAAAATCATTTTATAAACTAAAGAGTTACTTACAAATTTTGAAAATCTTAATCTCTTTACAAAATAAAGAGCATATTTAAAAATTTTGAAAATCATTTTATAAAACTAAGGATACTTAAAGTTTTTGAAAATAAATAAAGAGAATATTTGAAAGTTTTGAAAATCATTTTATAACTAATGAGAATACTTTGAAAATTTTAAAAATTATTTTATACATACTTGAAAATTTCGAAAATCATTTTATAAATTAAAGAGAGTGCTTGAAAATTTTGAAAATCATTTAATAACTATGAGAGTACTTCAAAATTTTTAAAATTATTTTATAAACAAAAGAGAATAATTAAAAAAAATTTAAAATTATTTTATAAACTAAACAGAATACTTGAAAATTTTCAAAATCATTTTACACACTAAAGAGAATACATTAAAATTTTGAAAATTATTTTATAAAAGAATATTTAAAAATTTTGAAAATCATTATATAACTAAAGAAAGTACTTTGAAAATTTTGAAAATTATTTTATACACTAAAGAGAATACTTGAAAGTTTTAAAAATCATTTTATAAACTAAGAATCGTACTTGGAAATTTTTAAAATCATTTTATAACTAAAAAAATGCTTGAAAAATTTTCAAATCCTTTTATAAACTAAAGAGAATACTTAAAATTTTTCAAAATTATTTTATAGAACTAAAGATTCTTGAAAATTTTGAAAATAATTTTATAACCTAAATAGATTATTTGACAAATTTTGAAAATCATTTTGTAACTAAATAGAGTACTTGAAATTTTTGAAAATCATTTTATAACTAAAGAGAGTAATTAAAAATTTTTAAAATCCTTTTATAAATTAAAGAGAATATTTGAAAATTATATTATAAACTAAAGAGAGTACTTGAAAATTTTGAAAATCTTTTTATACCTAAAGAGAGTACTTGAAAATTTTAAAAATCATTTTATAACTAAAAAGAGTACATGAAAATTTTTCAAATCCATTTATAAACTAAAGAGACTACTTACAAATTTTGAAAATCTTAATCTCTTTATAAAATAAAGACCATACTCAAAAAGTATAAAAATTATTTTATCAAACTAAAAATACTTAAAAATTTGTCAAGCACCTTGTGTTCAAATATTACATTTATAGCTCCCCTTGAAGTAAGGTCACAGGGTCGAACTCTAGTGGTGGAGTCAAATATTATTCAAAAGAGAATACTTGAAAATTTTGAAAATCAAGGAGAGTACTTGAAATTTTTAAAATCCTTTTATAAGTTAAAGAGAATATTTGAAAAATTTTAAAATTATTGTATAAACAAAAGAAAATAATTGAAAATTGTGAAAATCATTTTATACACTACCGCGAATACTTGAAAATTTCAAAAATTATTTTAAAAACTAAATAGAATATTTGAAAATCATTTTATAAATTAAAAAGGTACTTGAAAATCATTTTATGAACTAAAGAGAATGCTTGAAATTTTTAAAAATCATTTTATAACTAAAAAGAGTACTTAAAAAATTTTTAAAATCCTAATATAAACAAAAGAGCATACATAAAAATTTTGAAAATCATTTTACATCTAAAGAGAGTACTTATAATATTTTAAAATTATTATATATATATATATATATATATATATATATATATATATATATATATATATATATGACGTTACTTAAAAATGTTCAAAATAATTTTAAAAACTAAAGAGAATACTTAAAATTTTTTAAAATCATTTTATAAATTAAATAGAATATTTTTAGAAGTTTGAAAATCATTTTATAAACTAAAAGGAGTACTTGAAAATTTTGGAAATTATTTTACGAACTAAAGATAAACTTTTTTTTTTTTTTTTTTTTGTGAGTACAACTAAAGAGAAACTTTAAAAATTTTGAAAATTATTTTATAAGCAAAAGAGAATACTTAAAAAGATTTTTAAAATTATTTTATAAACTGAAGAAAATACTTGAAAATCATATACATTAAAGAGAACACAAAAGTTATAATTGATCATAATGTTCTTCTGATTTTTGTTAGACTTCTTAGTGTTGCCCATGGACGGAGCTAGCCTGGGGGCAGTGGGGGCAGCTGCCCCCACTCACCCCATCCCACTCCTTTATATATATGTATGTATATATATATACATATATAGCATTAAATGTTATATAAAATTTATATTTATGTTTAATGTACTAATTGTTTGAGTAGTTTAGTTGGTTGGACTCTAAGTTTGATTTTAATAAAAAGTATATGGTCATAGGTTCAAAACTCATTAACAAGACTTGTTTATTTTATCTCTTTCATTCCTTTCTAAGATAAATTAAATATTTTTTTAGTCTACTTTTATAAATCATTTAATTAATGTAGTACACAAGTTTATATTATACTTCATATAAATTTATTCGAATTAATTTACAAGTTGATCTACTTCATTAGCCTACTTCATTGTATTCAAATTAATTTAGAAAAACTTAAAATTGATCTAACTAAAAAAAATTAAATTTAAAAGTATTTATAAAATATAGTGTTATTCAAAAAATTTTATTTAATGGATTATGTTTCATATTTTGTTATAAATATTTTCACATTTTCACCCCACACAAGTATATTTTTGGCTCTGACTCTAACTATCGTGTAATCTATAAAAATATTCTATTGTAATTTATAAAGTATTTTATAATTTAACCTTATTATGCCAGTTTGATATTTTGTGATTGACATTTCTATCGCCATTTAAATTTCGCCCCCACTCAATTAATTTTCTGGCTCCGTCCCTGTTGCCGGTGAATAATAATGGATACGCAAAATGAAATTTAATTTATAAAATTAATTCCAACCACCATTTTGGTGCGAAACCAAAATAATAATGGATTTAATTTATTAAAAAAAAAAATCAATCACCCCAAACTTGGTATGAAACATGGGTTATAGCACTTCGAGTACTTATACGAAAGTGTTTGGCAAAAATTTATATTCGTGCCCACGTACATGAGTAATCCTTGTGCGCAAGAAAAAACTTCTATAGCTATGCTATACAATTCAACATATTTTTAAAAGACTCTTGTATATATAATGATGCAAACCCACTTCCCAAACCAATGTGGGACAAGTGCTTTTACAAAGTCTTTCCACCTTCATTTTCCAACTCAAATGTGTTTACTTTGAAAATCAATTTCCAATTTATCCCATTATCTGTTTTGAGCATACAATATATCAATCTCTTTGTCTCACTGCGAAGAACTCGAATCCACTTTGACCGGATTCAAACTGAAAGCGAACCCCACATATATTTGTACCACAAAATAGCCACTTTCTATGTCATTTTATGCTAAAAATTTCAACACTTAGTTCTCCAAGTGATGATGTTCGCCAACAAGCCAGGTATATGAAGTTGTATCTAAAATCTTAGAAACGAAGCAGCTTGCTTCGTTTCTGAGATCTCTGAGTGATGAAGCTTGTTGTTTTGTCTCCAAGATCCCAGAGACGAAGCTTGTTGTTTTATTTTCGAGATCTTAGAGAGGAACTCGTCTTAATATTGAGATGAAAAAATATACGCCTGTCAAGTGGGGAGAGTAGAGTTCGAACCCAGGTACCATTGTTGAAATACAAGTCAATTCATCATTGCCGTATATTTTTTCAACCGTTTTTTAACCGGGGTACTATCATTTTTTGTATGTAATGTCCAACCCGTAACGTTGTTTCACAAAAGTACCACTCATATTTTTCAACTTTCTTTTTCAAAAGTATAATCGCATCTTTTATATATATATATATATATATATATATATATATATATATATATATATATATATAAATTACATTTCAAACTTTCTTAACATTAATATAAAAAAACATGGATATTGAATCAAATAATTGAGAATGTTTTTCAATCGATCGCTCGTAATGTTATTTCGTTAATTCGGACCAATGAAAAAATATAAAACCATACGAATGAAAACAAAAACAAAAAAAAATCATTTGTCAATTGCATTGCAAATACGGAAAGCCAAAACAAAAATAATGCTACAATAGAACTGCTTCCAAAAGTACTTGTTATGGTCTTGGATAACAAGGCTTTCAAAAGTATGTGATTTTTTATTTTGTCATAATTTAAAATTCGGTCAGTTTTGGAATCCAATTCAAAAAAGAGTCTCCGGCGAGGGTGATTCAATTATCCGAATCAGTTTGATTCAGTTTTGGTTTCGACTTCGGTTTATAGCTAGAATCTCAATCCGAATGGTTTTGGTTTGATTTTTATATCTAATCTAAAAATTAATAAGTGTGAATGAAAGTTATATTTTTCAATTATATTCATTTTTTTTGTTACTTTTTAAATATATCATACTATAAGAATTGAATTATACAATATTTTTGTCAAAAATACCTTTTCGTGTATTAGGCTGGTTCAATATTACATTTCAAAGGTGAACCCAATTAACCCCCAGCGATTATCAGTAGCTATTTCCAGTGAGCTTCGTCAATCCCACAAAAAGACAACTCTTTATAACAAATAAATATAGCCCGCCATTTCGAACTCGATGTTATGGGAGGGTATTCCCCCTTCCTTTATTTCGGCTTTGATTGATTAATATATCCAGCAGTTTACTTTCAAAAAAAAAATATAACCCGCCATTTATTGGGTCTTTCCTATATTTGAGCTTTAAATTTTCCAGCCCATAAAAAAACCTACATAGACAGTTGGAAGTTGGGACATTTGGCCGGCGGATTAATCCGATTTCATCGCCACCGCTTCTCTGACCACGAATTCTCGGCCGGCAAATACAATGGAAGAAGATATCTTCGACTCATCTTTGAATCTAGAGGACACGCATTACAAGCAAGGATACTCTGATGGTTACGCCGACGGTCTAGCCTCCGGCGTAGAGGAAGGCCGCCAGGTGGGTCTCAAAACCGGGTTTGAAGTCGGATTTGAATTGGGCTTCTACAGAGGCTGTATCGACGCCTGGTTCTCCGCGATTCGCCTTGATCCTACTTGTTTCTCGCCTCGAGTGCAGAAAAACATCGTGCAGATGGATGAATTGCTCCGGAAGTACCCTATATCCGACCCGGAAAACGAGTCTGTTACTGATATCATGGACTCTTTGAGGATGAAGTTCCGAGCTATCTGTGCCACACTGAACGTGAAGTTGGAGTATGAGGGTTACCCTAGGGCTTCTGGTTTTGAGAATACTGGATTTTGAGGGTACAATTTGTGCTTCTAAATCATTTTGTAGTTTAGTGCTTGTCTTTCTAGTTGAATAGTTATAGTTTTCAAACAGAACTACTTTGTACTCTCTTTATCAATTTAAGAATATTAGTTATTGCTTGTTCTGAAAATTGAATGACATTCAGCATCTGAACACTGTTACATGTTTGTCGATGGTGAGTTATTAGATAATCAATGGCGTATATAGCTGCACATGTGTACTTGAATTACAGTTTAGTGATGTTTATATTATTACGAAGACGTGTCTGATTGTGTAAAAATTGTAAGTTGGTTGCCATGGGACATTTCTAGGCTCAGAGAAGGACTTCTTACCACAAGGATAGGTTCAGTTTTCATAATTGTTCTGTGTTCTAATCTTACTATGTTTATAATATGATGAGGTGAATATTCTTGGATGGGAAGCATTTTCTTATACTTCTATTTCTGTGAAATCTCTTCATGTTACAGACAGAATAATTCGCTATCTTCATATATCTCTTGTCATTATTTCAAGATTTCAACTGGCAATAGTAGAGGTTTCACTGGTTCAAGAAAAATTATTGTCCTTGATTTGATAGCTGCTGTCTCTATTTTTCTAGTTGTGTGATTGTACATCAATTCATCAAAGGAGCTGCTTGATATATACTATACCTAGCATCCTGGATATCTATTCCTAGTAGCATGTATAATGCAAAAGTTTGGATAAAATTTGTATATTTCTTTGTTGTCTTCGTTCTTCGGTTTCCAAAACTAAAACCTACCTCGATTGACTGTTTTTGTAACTATATGCTCAATGGTTGGCAAAACTAAAGACCTCTTAAAATATGCTAATCCCATTTTGTTGGTTCTATTGCTCTTTTCCTGTTTCTGCAGGTCTCAAGCCTAAAGCTGTAGCTTTATTTGCGATGGAAATGATAATTTTGAAGACCCGGGGTGCTTGATTTGGATTGACATGATTACAAGTAGTTGTATTCCTGGTCTGCCCCATATGATTTAATTCTTGATGCTACATTTGTTTGTCAATGAGAGGGTAGGGTCTGGTGAACTACTATAGGGGTGAGTTTAGAGATCTGGATGCAAGTGATTTTGAATGCATGACGATTGTTCATACCTTAACACTTGGGTTGGTTGCAGCTTTCTTCAAAGGGTTATGGAAGATGGGCAAAAAAACACTTGAGAGGTGCATATAAATCTTGCATATTAGTGATTTAAATTATGCTGTTCCTTTTGTAGATTATGTTGTTGGGATCATGCATGCTATGAGTACTTAATTATGTAAGTCAGCTTTTTTTCTTTTCTCTTTCCTTGTTTTCCTGATCTTTGGTGGAAATTTCCATGCTTTTCCTTTCATGGGCAAGTTTATCTTTGTTGAAGCAATTCTTCCTGTTTCCTTAATCTTGAACTTCCCTCTGTGCCTGGTGTGTGAAATTTTTTTGGTCTGTAGCTTCTGTTTGTTTTTTTTTCATTTTTTTCTGTAAGTCCAACTATTTCCTGTTTCTCTCTGTTAAACTCTTAATATTGACAGGGAACTAAAGACCAAATATCTCGCAGTTCATTTGTTCTCTGAATTAATGAATTATTTCTTATTTCTCTGTCAACTCCTTGGATTCAGAGCTCCTTTCACTCTCTCCCCATCTTCTCTGTTAATTGTTCTTGGGTTGGGTGGGTTGCATCAAGATAGTAATACCAATTTCTTTTACAGTATTAGTTTTTTCTTGCAGAAACTTATATGCTTGTTTTAGTTGTTTACTTGTTTATATATGTATTTGTGTGTCTGTGTCCTCTGAACAGCCCAGATTTTCATCTGGGAGGCTAGCCTCTCCACGGATCATTTCACCAAGAGCTACTTCTCCCCAGGACTATTCTCATAGCGCTGTTTCTCCAAGGACTGGCTGCTTCTCTACGAGTTTCCTCACCGCCGGCTGCTTCTCTAAGAGTTACCACTCCACAAGCTGCTTCTTCTAGGTCAAACCGGCACTGCAAGGAAGTGAACTACGTCCATAGACCAGAACCAACTTTACAAGTGCTTCGTGATGTCTCAGCTACGAGGATCCAAGCAGCTTTAGGGAGGAGTTATATGGTAATCTTCTACTTAACTAATACTTGGAGTGCACCATATTTAGGTTTGGTTCCACCACTCCTCCCCCCTTTGTCTCCCACTCAATCAACTAACCACTTCATCTAAAAGTAAAAACCCCTTAATTTGTCTCCATATTATGAATTGAGCACCAACTACTTGTTAGAACTAAATTCATGATTACCATGAGGAACAGGATTTATGTGTTTATAAGTTGATAGATTTCCATGGTCCTTGAACTTAATTTTTAGCCATGCCTTTAGTGAAGCTTTCAGTGTTGCGTTGAATCATTGGAATTTTGACTGTTTTGGTTTGTGTTATTTAATGTGCTGCTGATGCCATGTTGGATCATAGCAAATTAGCAGCAATATAATGTTTTAGTTCTAGTTTTGCTTAATTGTAAGTAATGTTTCCTTTACAGCTTTACTTGAATGGTCTGTGAAATCTATCTTCTATCATGGTGCATCTTACTCCATCACACTGACAATTCAGCATTTCTGCTAATAAAATCTTGGAAAATAATCATCTGTTTCCAATTTTCAATCTTCGTACACTTTTAAGTATTATTCTCATCATAGTAAAAGAATTATTTATATATATGCTGACGAATATAAGAACAGATTTCCACAAAAATATAATGCTTGAAAAGACTATACATTTAAAGTAAAAGGAACAAATATGCACACTTTTTAAATTCCTTTTGGTAATTGCTGATGCAATTAAAAGTTTCCCATTATAGAAGTTGAACAATGGGAAGGGAAATATGTAAATGAATTGTATGTTATGCTACCTATTTGGTATTTGAGGTTGGTTCTATTTGACAGGCAAGCAGGAGTTTCAGATCTTTGAGGGGTTTGGTTTAGTGAGGCTTCAAGGAGTGGTGAGAGGCAATAATGTAAAGAAGCAGACAGTGAACGCCATGAAACAAATGCAGCTTTTTAATTTGGTTAGGGTTCAAATGCAAATTCAGTCTTGAAGGATCCAAATGTTCGAAAACCAGGCACTCCAGTCCGAAGCTTTAAAGAAAGAATGACAAGGATGATGAGAGCACCCTGAGCAAATGGACCCAACTGGTAACTTTCCATATACCTAGCTAGTATTTTAAATGTTCATTCTATTTAATACTTTGCTGGCTGGCTAATGGCTATCTTTTACACATCAAAGTCATCCATGTCATTTATTTGATCGATGGCTCTTTGGTAGACTAGAGATCTTTATCTTTGTCGGGTGTTTTGATTAACATTAGTAGAATGGCTTGCATAACCACGGTCAAGAGTCAACTTATATTATCAGCATACTAAAATGTTTCTCATTATCTTTGGTGTTCTCTGCTGTCTGATGTAACAATCTTACAAGACTCGTGACTCTTGAAATTGTTATTGCAGTGCACTGCTTTCCAAATCTAAACTCCATCATTGTTTTGGTAGGGGTGTGAGAGGTGTCAAACTGAGGATTTCCTCTTTTACAAAATTGACATTTTCTTGGCCCCAACAAAGGTTTCGTTTGGTTAGACTGAGGCAGGTAACCGCGAAAATTGGGATGATAGCAAGCAGGAGATGGAGTGAGTGTGGATTCAACTGTCTCTATGTTGGGAGGCAACCATTTAACACATTTGTGTGATTGGATTTCTTTTCCTTGTTTTGTGTAATTCTTCTTTGTTAACATCTGTATTAGCCATTTTGACGTTGCTTTGTGTCTTTTCATGTATACATACCTGAGTGTGTATTTATTTGGTGATATATGTTGATGTACAATAATATAGATAGTAGGAAATGGTGTTTCAAATGCAGACAATTCTTTCAATGTTTCAGAGTGCAAACTATGTACCCTTTTGGTAATCCATGTCTTTTGTTCCTAAAGAGCAATGTTGCAAAACACATTAGGCGCTCCCTAGGCGGCAAGGGGGCGCCTAGCGCCGATTTTATTTATTTATTTTTAATTTATTTTATTTTATTTTATTTTTTTAATTAAAAAAAAATTAAATTAAAAATTTTCAAAATTTAATACTAAAACATAAGGTTTCTGTAGTTATTTCTTAGAAACTATTTACAAAAGTGGTTGTAAAATTGTTCAAAAGATTGTTTAAACTATTTAAATACATAAAAAACTAAAATTAAGAGTTAAAGAAGTATTTTTTTGAGAAAGAGAAAATTACACTTTTGATCCTGTGACTATTGGGGTCTTATTAATTTCAGTACACGACTTTAAAAACTAACACTTTAATCCTGTAACTATGTAATTTTTAACACATTTGGTCTTCCCGTCAAATCACCGGCCAAATGTTGCCGGAAAACCATAAATCATTTTTAATTATCTAATTGGAAGGGCAAATTGGTCATTTCAAGTCACCTCCTTCTCCATTGAACCTGCTCGCCGACTGCTTCTTGCTTGCCGATTGATTCTTTCTCAACCACGGCGAAGGAACGACAAAGCATATCCAAACCACCCAGGAGGCTTCACTACTCCGTAACTAACTAGTATGTAGCAATTGGATAGTACCAAAATTATCCCAAATTTATGGAGTAGTCTGTAGCAATTGGATATGCACGTAACAAATTTATGTTCACAGAGGTTCTGGAAACCATGGAAGCTTCGAATTCCGAGGAGCTATGGCGGTGCCGGTGGCGTGGGAGGAGGAGCAGGGGGTCGGCTTTCAATAAACTCCTGTTCTTTTATTACTCTGCTTTTCAATTTGTTCCTTCCGCAAAACACTATGCAGGGATCTTCACCATTTCAATGTTCTCCGTGACGGCGGCGGCGACGACGAGGCAAGCGGAAGAGGACAACTGCGAATTGTATCCATAGGGATCACTTTAATAGCAATCTCACCTCTCTCCACTTCACTCGGGCGTTGACGGTGGCGATTGTACTCCGCCGCTGCCGATCGATACAAATTCACTTCAAAATCATCAAAAAACCAGTCCTGTTCTCGCCGGTTTCCCACACCGGCAATTCCCTCAGATCCGGAACACTACGCAGGGAAATGAATCAATTTTTTTTTTCCTAGCAAAACAATCGATGCTTCCCCTCCCCCTTCAGGCAGTGAGATGAAACAAATACTTTTCCCGGCGAATCGCTGCTAGCTGCCTCAACCAGATGCTTTTTCCTTTTTTTTTTGGTTAAATGTAAAATGACCATTTTGCCCCTATGATTAAATAATTAAAAATAGTTTACATTTTTTCGGCAACATTTGGCCTGGAGGACCAAATGTGTTAAAAATTACATAGTTACGGGACTAAAGTGTTAGTTTTTAAAGTCAAGTACTAAAATTAACAAGACCACAAAAGTCACAGGACCAAAAGTGTAATTTTCTCTTTTGAGAAATTAGTGGACCAAACCGCCTTTGGCCGTTTGCGGTGTATAGATTTCGAAAAAATACGCAATTTGAAAAAAAAAATTGTCCAAAACGGACAACCGAATCAAAAGTTATGCCTTCCCGAAATTTTCGCAATTTTAAAACGCCAAAATAAAAAAATTAATAAAGCGCCGGTTCCGCCTAGACCGCCTTGCCGGCCGGCCGCGGAAGAGGCCGATTCCGGCCTTCTTCGCGACGGCAGCCGGGCGCGATTTTTGCAACCATACTAAAGAGTAAAGATTGTACTAAACATGTTGCACTATGCATTTTTTTCATATTTCTTTGTGGGAAATTGGGAGTCATCAATTTTTTCCTCCTTGTTGCCATAGTATAACGATGGGACTTTGATTATTTGGGCAACTTTCAAATAATTCGTATAGTTTCTTGTCATCTAAAAATACTTCATTGCTCAACCAACCTCTTTCTTTATTATTATAATTATTCAGTTTTTATTTTGCGGCAACAAAAGTTAAAAATCAGAGTTAATCCACAAGGGTTCATCAAATTTGCCTCTCAACTTTTCACCGCTCTTGCCCAAGGAGAGGCGAGCCAAGTCCACCTCAGCTTTGGGGTGCCACGCTGGCGTGCCATTCTCATATCCATTCCACGTCAGCCTCTGCAGTCCCGTCCCGTCTAACCTCATCATGTATAGGTCACCGTAGGGCTGAAACTGGTTGGGTATCGACACCGGCTCCGCCGTCACGCCGCCCAAGTTCGCCGTGAACAGCACCCACTCACTGTCCGAACTGAAACACACATGATTCAGTCTCTCTCTGTTCACCTCCTCCGATCCTTCCGCTCCTGCCACGTGGATTCTACGGAGACCTGTTCCGTCCGGACGAACGACGTAGATGCTAAAACAGTCGGCGTTGCCTGGGTTGTGTCTGTTGGAGGAGAACGCGATCAATTTTCCGTCCGGTGACCAGCTAGGCATGGTATCAATCCAAGCTCCATCTGTTAACTGCCGGATTCCGCCGCCGTCTAATTCGCCATTGAGAGAATCGATTATGTAGAGATTTTTGTGGCCGGACCGGCCAGAACGAAAGACGATGTGTTTTCCGTCAGGCGAGCAAGACGGAAATGCGTTATTGCCGGTGGTTTCTTTCGTCAAAACCTTGATTTCCACGGGGATTTCGTCTGAATCATCATCGCCATCGTCGGTCAAATTTGAAGGATCGAAAGTGAGACGAGCGATCTGCACAGTGGCTTTGACGGACTCGAATATAGGCCCTATTGAAGTGAAAATTACGCCGTTTTCCGTGGGGCTCCAGGCATTGCAGAACGCCGTCCGGTCTTTGATCAGCGTCCATCCTTTAGATCCATCCGACTTGATAATTTTGAGGCGTGAATCGGAATCGAAGCTGGGATTAAACGCAATAAAATCTCCGGAGGAAGAGAAGGAAGGGAATGAGCCGTTCAATCTGAGCATCCGAAGAGCGTTTACTGGAGACCTCACCGGGTCCAAATGTGGAATTATGTCCTCCTGTAACGATTCTCCCCTGAATCGATGGTAACCGAGCACAGTGGATCCCGGAGAGAGAAACGGGTTGTAATGGTGGATATTAGGGTTGAGTAATTCGGTGACCGGATAAAATTTTTGAGATTCAACGTCAAAAATTTCAATATGCCGGTAATTATTCCCTCGCCGCCTAGTTGCGGTCGCGATTCTACTACAATTGTGCATTGCTGCAGGGGTGAAGCAGTGCACGCCGGGAGGAGTGACTCGAAGAGGGGAAATGGGAATTTTACTCGCAGAATCTCCAGAACATGTAAAATTTTCCGGCAGATCAATCCGGAAAATGCTCCACCACCCGTCGTCGGCTTGGCGATGGAAGTAGATAGTCGAATCGCCGGACCAAGTAGGCCAACCACCGTGTTTGCAGAGAAGAGTTCGGCTAGCGGGATCGGACTCCCGGAACACGACGATATCAGTTTGGAGATCGCGGAACTCACCCGCCCAGGGACGAGACCCGTAAGATGCGACGGCGATGAATTCGCCGGACTGAGAAACGGAGGGGCTGAAATCAACGGCACCGTACGGCGTCAACCGCGTGATTTCCTTTAAACCTAGATGGGTGGAGTAAAGCGCAGACCAGCTCTTGAACACTTCCTTGGGCGGCTCATGAGCAGAGATATAAAGCAGCCGTCCATCTCTGACGACCGGACGGTCATGAAAGAGGGTTCCAGAGGGGGAGAGTAACTGCTGCGGTTTTCCGGCGGAGGCGGAGCGATTCTCTTGCAAGTAAATCCGAGGCGACCCGGATCTCTCGGAGACAAAGACAAAGGTGTCGCCTTCATCGAGAAAGTGGCCGTTGAAGTTAATGGAGACGCCGTCGGTGAGGCGGTGCTCGGAGGCGGGGCGGCGGTCCTGTTCGAAACTAGACGGAAGTTGAACGGAGAAGATATCGAAGCCGTAGTGAGATCTGCCGACGGTGGAGAACACAATCGTTCCGTGAGGATCCATTATCATTATCGGAGGTTTAGGGATACGCAGAGAGGAGAGGATTTGGGTACATAAAGGAAAGAAACGGTGAGAGATTGCGTATGGCATGACATCGTCGTCGGCTCTGCTGTTCTACAATCTCCGGTAAAGGGACACGTCAAAAGTCATATCTGTTGCCAAATGCAATTGCTAATTTGCTACTGCTACTGCCTACTGATGAGTATGCACTAGTCAAAGTAGTCATCCAAATTATGTCTTTTTGTCTTTTAATAATAAGGTAAGTCTTTTTCACGAGTAAATTAGGGAATTAACATTGAATTCTTTCCCTATTTTAATATTGGCATTGCATATTCTAAATATGCTTTTATGACATCTCTTTGACTCTTTATCCTTATCTTTTTTTTTTTTTTTTTTTTTTTTGGAAAACACTCTTTATCCTTATCTATTAATTCGAGATGAATTGTCAAGACTTTGTGATCTGACATTCGGTTAGATTTTGGAGGTTGTGATTTTCAAATTATTTAGTAACTTCTATTTTTTCCTTTCTTTGTTTTGAATTAAAAATAGAAGAGCTGAGTCAATCAAAAATATAAAGGAGGTTCATGGCCAAGAGTAAAGATGTACGAATAGCAGTGATTTTGGAATGTACCAGTTGTGTCCGAAACGGTGTTAATAAGGTATCAACGGGCTCTTTGTGCTTGTAATAGAGTCAAGTGAATAAAGAATATATATTTTCATTTAACAAAAAAAATTACTACATTAAAAAGATAATTTATTAGTTTTGAAAAGAAAAAAAAACAGCTTTTTAGTTTTTGTATTATTATTATTATTATTATTATTATTATTATTATTATTATTATTATTATTATTATTATTATTATTATTATTATTATTATTATTATTATTATTATTATTATTATTATATTCTTTCCCCTTTGCAACTTTACACTTCGGCCCAAAAACTTATTTTGGATAACAATATCGGCAAATTATGCTGTGGTCGTTTTAATAAAACGCGTGTCTCCCCTTAAAAAAAAAAATCAGATTCGATTCCCAGCAACAACATATGAATTAAAATTCCATAATCGATGAACTATAATTTCATAATCTAATCTATGAGCTAAAAATTCCAGAATGAATGAACTAAAATTCCATAATCTATAAACTAAAATTTCAGAATCGATGAACTACAATTCTATAATCGATGAACTATAATTCCATAATCAATGAACTATAATTCCCTAATCTATGAACTAAAATTCCAGAATGAATGAACAATATAATGTTGTTGCTGGGAATCGAACCTGAATTTTTTTTAAAGGGAAGACGCACACTTTTCAGTAAAACGATGTCGTTTTAGCATCCATATGCACCATACATGGTGCATACGGATGCACAGCATAACGATTGAACTATATCAAGTGGATCAACACTTACTGCCTGGCTGACTATGTCGTCTAAGTCAACTTGAGCTTCTAAACAATTTAATTTAATATAAAGCCTATAACAAATATATGTAGCCCATTTATCAAAATTAAAATCCAATTCCTAGAGCATGCCATCATGATTTAGTTGGGCAAATTATATCATGGATTTGGATCAACTTTTTATTGTGATGTCTAGTCTAAAATGACATTCAAATTGTATATGTAGTTAACTTATTATGTCCACACCACACCACTATCAAATTACCACCGCCGCAACTACTGCCACCATCCCACCACTACCATCACCACTGTTGGTTTAGGATTTTTGGGCCTAGGGAGGTCCAACACAACCGTGGTTGGTGGATTTACCATTTAGAATAAAGCTATGGACTTAGAAGAAATTAGACACAGTGATTTTGACGTGAAAACCGAAATGTGAAAACCAAGAGCCTATTTGAGCGGTGTCAAACTAAGACTTTCACTATTCTTGTAGGTATTGGTACATAGTTGATACTGCTAATTTTACGTACGCAATATAAATAACACAAGACCAAGTAAAGCAAGTAATTCTTTATTGATCAAGGTAGAGTTCCTAAGTACAATCTACTTGGTTGCACTGAGTACCGACTGACTGCGGTCGGGAGTCTCTAGTTACAACCTATCGATCGTCCAAAAAGTCCACTACACTGTAGCTACTGTGGGCATTTATAGCCGCTGTGCCGGAGACAAGATCCCAGCTGCTCGGCATGTCTTCCACGTAGCCACCACGTGCCCTCCTCCTGGGTGCCCTGCCTGTCGATGTAAAGAGCCGCCACGTGTCTTTAGTCAGCTCTCTTGCCGAAGGACTACCGCTCGGGGTTGTCACCCCCGCTCGGGCAACTCCCGGTCGGTTCCCGCTCGGGTTCTTCTCAGGGAGCCCGACCTGTTACCTGCAAAGACAAGGAGAAAGAGACAAAGACTCCTCGGTCGTGGTGAAGCTATGTCGGTCGGGATATTCCCTACCAAGAGCCCCCCAGCCCGGGCCTTTTTGATCAGTCGGGAAAAAACGGGACGGGATGAAGAAGCCCAACCGTCAGGCATTAGACCGACCGGCCAGCTGTCATTCCCCCTACGCCACGTGTCGGCCTCTGCCGGCCTCGGCGATCCCATCCGTCGCCTTGGATTCAGCGCGGGTCGTGTCAGGCAAGTTGGCCCATTTCCCGCCTAAATGTCCTCCTATAAATAGGCCCTTGAGGCCCTCATTTGAACTTTCCTCACTCTTTCGCATCGGTCGGTACCCTCAGAGAGTCCCGAGCAGAGCAGTTTAGCGAGGCAGTCGAGCAAGCAGACTTCAACTTTCAAGCTTCAAACTTCAATCTTCCTTCAACCGGTAAGCCCTCAACCCCCCTCTTTACTTTAGGCTCTTATTCATAGGTAGAACTGCTAGGGCAACTAACTGTCCCGGACGTCTCAAGTCCTTACTAACTCCGACCGACCTTTAGGTAGATCGATATGACGGATTCTGACAGTCAAAACGCCTCGATTGCTGATTACGACGAGGAGGTCGAGCGCATCAGCGACGAGGAGGTGGACATAATGTCCTACACCCCGGACGCTAGTCCCCGAGCGACGCCAGCCCCCGAGCAAGCCGCCGAGCGAGACAACGCATCGGGCTCCTCAGGATCGTCCAGCTCGAGTTCGAGCGGATCGGGGAGCTCCAGCGAGGAAGAAGAAGAGAGAGCCACGTCAAGCGGGCGGGGTTCTCCAACCGAGGGCGTTAGGGAAACGCCTACCCGGGTGGTTGGGGACCACCCGGAAGCTGCTCCTCGAGGGGGCGATCGAGAAAATACCCCCGAGCAGACCGAAGAAGACCCGGCCGGGCCGGCCGGACCAGCCGTCGAGCTCGAGTTCCTGAACAGCGAGAGCGTCGAGCAAGAAATGAGCCTGCTGTCCAAAGGCGAGGCGGCTCGGATTGCCGAAATACTCAGAGGTCGGGCAGAATTCGACACGAGCCGGCAACTGGGAAATGTAATTGACAGGCATCGGGGCAAGTGGATCGGGATGCACTATGACTCCCTGACAGCCCCGATCGCCATTCCCTTCACCCCCCTCCTAAATGCCTTCTTGGCCTATTACCGAGTCGTCCCGGCCCAGATCTGCCCGAACGCACATCGGATCTTGGCCTGCTTCCCACAGATATGCGCTCGGCACGAGGCCGAGTGCACGATGGAGTTATTTAACTTCATCTACCAGATCAAGGTTCTCCCGGGCCGCTACGGGGGTGGGTTCCTGATGCTGCAGTCCCGAACGGATATGTGCTCGATCAGAGGCTTGCCCGGGAACAACAAGGGGTGGAAAAACAGGATTTTCTCCCTCAAGTACGAGCCCTGGATCTTCCCGGTCGATCGCGTCTGGAGCACACATTTCCGGAAACAAGTGGTGCCGGCCGAGACGCAGGCGCTGAGGGACGCGGTCAGCCGGATCTCGAGCGAGGTGCACGAATACACAATCTACCGGACGGCTGAAAGTCTCGCAGCTGCCATGCTCCCGCCCCCCACGTACGAGCTGCCGGAGAAGTATCTGCCCGTTCCGATGGGCGTGACGGTCGCCAAGCCTTTGAAACGAAAGAAGAAAGGTTTAGCTTGAGCTGTTCTTCCCGACCTAGCTTTATTTTTGAATAAACTAACTCTGCTCTTGTTTTGCAGCTATGGCCGAGTTTGGTGACGAAGACGCCGCCCTTCCCCCACCCGTCAAGATCTCGCTCGGCGGGAAGAAGAAGGCCAAGACCAAGGCGGCCGGGGAGAAGGAGATCCCCTCTGCCCGACCTCTGAGCGCCTCGACCGTGACGACGGGCGAGGGCTTTATCGTGGAGCAGCCGGACGTCCTGATCACTCGGGTGGAGGTCGCCCGGGGAAAGGAAAAGGTCGCCGACCAGGGCGCGACCGAGGCGGGCGGCCTAAAGCGCCGCCGCGAGCAACACAGCCCGACCCCTTCGGCCGGGCGGGAGAGGGAGCCTACATCCGTGCTGGCACGGATCGGTAACGCCGCGCCAGCCCGAGCGGATTTGGGGAAGATGACCCCGACCCAGGTGGCTGAACGGATTGGCCACGATCTGGCCGAGGTGAGTCCCAGCTTTTAATCTTTCTTTGCCCAAATATCGTTGATCGGGCTGACTTTGATTATCTTCTTTGTGTTGCAGATCTCCCGGGCGACCCAACTTCTTCAGGGTCAAGCTCTGCTGGCCGAGGAGGCTGATCACCACAAGAAGACGGCCGCTCGGCGTCTGAAGGAGATCAAGGAGCTCCAGGCCGAGCTAGAAAAGACACAGAAGGCCCTGAAGAAGGGTGATGAGGAGCGGGTGCTGGCCGAGAAGGTCGCCAGCCGGGCGATTGGGGAGGCCCGGGAGCTGAAGGCGCAGCTCGAGAACCCGAGCGATCTGGTGCGGGCGGCCTTCAAGAACAAGGAGCTGGGCACGGCCTTTCTAACCGCAGCCCGAGGAGATGAGGTCGGGAACGAGCTGATCGTCTCGTTCGGGAAATGGGCCTTCACGGCCGGGAAGCAGAAAATGCTCGAGCGCACCCGCAAGCGGTTGGAGGAGGCCCTCGACGCCGATGATCTCCAACTGGTCTTGTCGGCCTTGCCCCCGGACGTGGCAGATCCCGGTCCCTCCCCCTTTACCCCGACCCCGAAAGCCAAGGTACCCGAGCCTGGGGCTTCGTCGGCGGCTGCCCCGAGCGGGAAAGAGGCGACCGCCGGCGCTCAGGAGGCGAAGAAGTAGATTTAGGCTTCTTTCCTTCTTTTTTGTAAGAGACCTTAGT